GCGTTAGAGAGAAAGGCATAACAGCAGTAAATATTTGCATTAAAATTTATGATAATTGAACAACTTGTCATTCGTATAAGCTGAAAATATGTTTAAACAAATATTGTAATATGAGTCATTATGCACTGAGAAGATTTATAAAAGCAGGCCTGTATTTTTACATCTTAAATTGGAGTTAAAATTGAGCAGAGGGCCTGATTTTCATTTATACTACAAAATCTGTTCTTTTCTCAGTGGAAAAGTGGTTTAAGGGAGAAGTAAATAAATATAAAAATGGAGCTCAGTATGTTGTTAAGAGAGCAAAAAACTCAGGCAAAGAGTTTCAGTTCCAGGTTGTCAAGATAGTGGTGCTGAGAAGAGGTTGGCCTGGGCTCAGCAGAAGTTGCAGCAGGCAAGGAGATGAATTAAGAAAAAAGTACAAAAAGATCAGCCTGTGTCTGCCTCCGAAGAGGAAGGTGGCATATTAAAGCTAGGAGCTGGAGAAACTGGAGAGCTGGTTGGAGAGATACCAGCAGAACGGGTTGGGAGATGTATAGTTATGGGTGTCGACACAGGAAAGGATGGAGACAGCCAAAGCCAGTTTCATACAAATAATTACTGTAAATTTTACGTAGCTAAAAATGTTTTAAACATAGTATATTTTACTTGATACGCTTTATACAAAGAAATTATATCTACTCAGAGTGTACAGAAAATAGCTACTAATCAAACATACCTAGTTTGATGTAAGCTTTATCTTACAGAGTCAAATATGCCTGTGAATCGTATCAGCGCTGCAGGGAATTTCTCTCCTTGGTGAAGGAGGAATTTGTCATGAAAGGGAAGAAAAAGCAGGCAGTAATTTCTGTTCCAAATATTATATCATGGAATCATAGAATAAGTTGTAGGGTGACTTGGTGACTTAGCTTGTTGAGCATTTCTTGTTCAAGTTACAAATTGGTTATAGAGTAATGAATGAGCTGTAGTGATGCCAGAGAGACAGTGCTAACTTTTAAAAGGGCAGGCAATAGGAGGCAAAACTAAAAGGGAAAGGGCAATCTGTTCTGAAATCTGAAAATAGTAGGTTTATTGTGTAATTAACCTGCAATTAATATATATACATAGAATTTTTTTTTCCTGGAGAGCATTTTTAAAGGTTTTGTTTTTTTTTTCCCCCCCCCTCCAAATTAGCTTTCTATTTTACCTGTTTCTGGGTGAAACAGGGTGTCCTAAAACACAAGGAGATATTTGAGTGGAACCCATGTTTTTCTCTCTCACTGTGAATGCTGGATTTCTGACAGCTTCCCTGGAAGGAGCATATTGTTACCAAAGGCTATTGCGTAGCCTAGTATGATAGAATGATAGAATTACCAAGGTTGGAAAAGACCTCTAAGATCATCCAGTCCACCTGTCCACCTACCACCAATATCACCCAGCAAAGTGAGTACCTGTCCAAGCCACAGGCTGCCAGCTTCTCCAGGAGATTACTGTGGAAGACAGTACTGAAGGCTTTGCTGAAGCCCAGGTAGAATACATCAGCAGCCTTTCCCTCATCCACCAGGCAGGTCACTCAATATGAGGTTGGTCAAGGAGGACCTGCCCTTCATGAACCCATGCTGGCTGAGCCTGATCCCTCGATTTTCCCTCACATGGTGTGTGATCTTCAAGGTGATCTACTGCATCTTATCTGGCACTGTGGTCAGACCTGTAGTTCCCCAGATGCTCCTTATGGCCCTCAGGGGAGTGACACTGGCAAGCCTTCAATCCTCAGGAACTTCTCTGACCAGGAACTCTGATAGACGATGCAAAGCGGCTTGGCTGTCACCTCTGCCAGCTCCCTCAGCAACCTTGGATGGATCCTGTCTGGTCCCATGGACTTGGGGCAGTCCATTTCGTGTAGCATGTCTTTAACTGCAGTTGCAGCCTTAAACTGTTGGGGGGGCTTGGAGCAATGTTGGAACAATGTATGTGCCTCTGGCACATAGATGACAAAATGCAGATAGCCTGTTGTAGGCAGCATGTCGTGTTCTCAACAAAATATTCTGAGGGCCTCATTCTTGTGAAATGGGCATTGCCTTCCAAACAAGCATCTGCTTTGCCAAGTAACTGTGCTCTGAATATCCCACCCAGGGCATAGTTCCTAATTGTTTGGCACAGCAGCAGTTAAGCTGAAGGTGTCAGGGTGGACCCTTGATATCAATTTCAGCATTTGTTGATGTTACAGAGTGACCAGGTGCTTATTTTCTGTATCAGTGGTTAGAAAAAAGATTTATTAAATTGGGCATTTGTTTTTAAACAAAGCAATCTGAACACTGATAGTGGAGCAGACAAACCATCATAGAACATCTCCATTTGTCAGTAAGCTTTTTGCAGCCACCAGACTATCTCTGCCTGTTTGTGGAGGTGCTGTGAAAGCAGTGAGTGTTGCATGAGCCAGAGAAAGAATCAGCTGTTAAACTGAATTCCAGTTTTACCCTAACAATAGATTAATTTTAACCTATTTTTCCCAATTTCTACTCAGTTTTAAAAGAAGGATGTGGATTTCTTAAAGCTTCTTTATGTTTTCGTGCTTAACTTTTTTTCCAGCAGCAAACAGCTCACTGTCATCTCCATTGTGCTGGAAAATATTCATGTGGTAAATGGTGATCTGTGACTGCTTAACTTTGAAAGTCAGTGTAAATTCCATCAAAAAGATCTACAAGAAAATTAATTCATCTGAATCAAAAAACGACTTTAAAATGTACTTGTTACTGAAGCAATTTCTCTGTAGAGTATAAACTGAGGATATTTCAGATTAGGATACCAATGGACTGGACCAGTATTCTGGAGGCAGATGGCTACTTTCAATGACACAACATCAACCAGCATTCAAATAATTAGCTGATTTGGGAGTGCTTGAGGTCCAGAGAAAGGGAGGAGCAAAAAGATAAATTCAAGGACTGGTTATTTGGCAAAATCTCTTTTACTTCTTTAGAGATGCAGGGAATTTTTCTTAATCTGGGATATTCAGTACAGAACCGAAATGCAGATTTTAAGAAGTCTGTGTTTTTTACATTTTAATACAAGACTTTTATAAAAAATTTACAGGTACAATTTTTTTTTTTAAAGTATGTGTTTGAAGAATGAATATTTGAATTCATTGGAATTCATAATTCATTCAGTGTCCATTTGAAAGCTTCCCTGTATTTTTGGAGGATTTCCCCTGTGACATTGACATCAGTGAAGGAATTAATGCTTGAAAGTCTTTCTGGGGGGGAGCAACAATAGAAACATCCCATGATGTCAACTTATATAAGTTTTGGAGTTGTTTTGGGAAGTTATGTTAGATTATTTGTTGTGCTGAAGTATCCTAGACTTGTCTTCTCTGCAGTTATACCATCTTTCCAGGTGAACAGATCATCTGCCAATCAAGGCTTTTTTTTTTCTTTTTTCTTTTCATTTTTTCTTAGTCAAACCATGATAGGATTTGGAGTAGTTCACTCAATTCAGTGACTTTTTATTAGTGAGAGATCTAATCAAGATCCCTGGGCCCTTGGGGAATGTAAGTTTTGTTTCACTTTCTAAGAAAGGAAAGAAAGTGAAATCAAATCAGAAAATTATAATACACAATCTTCTTTTACAGTAGTCCACATGAAAAACGAGGGGTTGTCCTCATCCATATTTATACCACAAGTGGTTCCCATGTTCAACAGACTACCACGCTGCTAATCTCTTTGCATTTTTTTCCAAATCTCATTCTCACCCAAGGTGAAAGTATATTCCATTTACTAGATGTGCATTGTGAGCTGTTTTTTTCTTTCTTTCTTGCAGGACTATGGGATTTAGTAAGTCAGCAAGACTTTTTGTACATTTGGGGATCAGTGTAAAGAAAATACCATTTCCGCTTGCTGCTATTTCAGTGGATTAGGCAGTGCATCAAAACATACATATTAGCTTCAGTTATAATACCTCAAGGTCTCATAGATTTGCTGGGACTGTGATAGTTTCCTTGATGCTACCTGAGATCCTTGCACATATTTCTCATCATAGCACTGTTGACAGAACTGTCTGGTAGTCTTTATGTGATGAAGTTACAGACTTCATCGCAGGAGTTCTGCAGTTGTGTTCTAATTGGTTCATTTCTCAACAACTGAAAATCTGAATGTTGTTTAAGTTGTACTAATAGGAAAGAAATGAAGATAAAAAGAAAGTTCCAAGAAAAAAGTTGAAGTGCAGTATCACTCTAGCAGTAGTTCTGAAGTGCATTGTGTCTTGGTAAGCTTCGCTTCCAAGTCCAGCTTTCAGTGGATTCTCAGGTTTAGCAAAAGTAACCAAAGTAATTGGTCTATGTGCCTACTTGAGCCCAAAGGGAAGTTACTATGCAGGCAAATCTATTAATTGTAGCATCTGAGAAGATTGGAAATGCTCCATTGAAATACAACACATCCTCTAGAAAGAATAGCCAGATGGATTGTTCGACAAAGCAGAGCACGGTTTAAAACTGTAGTCTATGTGTGTAATTTTTCTATGTTTGTGTTTTCCTTCATGTCTGCTGTTTTGTCAGTCTTGATTTCATGTGCTTTATTTACAAGGACATCTGTTTCATGACTATATTGATATTTCCCTATGTACAATGTCTGAAAAAATGAGCCCCAGAGGTCAAATTTTCATAAGAGGAAGACCTTTAAGTAATGGCTTCACTTCTCCATGTTTCAAGGTAATAACTGTAGAGTAAATGTAGATTATAAAGTATATATGAGAAGCATCAAGCACAAAGCTACTCTCTATGGAAAGAGCAACTCTAACTTCAAGCAGATGTTGATTTGTCTCTGTATACAGTGGTTATATATTTGCATGTCCTCTTCTTATTTTGTTCTTTCTCATGCATCGTTCATTTTATTGTTGTTAAAAACTACAACTCAAGTACAACAAAACAGCACCAGTGGTTGATTCTTCCAGCAATTCTTTTCCAAAATAACTGGTTTCGTTGGTGGTAGATAGTAATTAATTTGTTCTTGCATTTTCTTTCCTTTTTTTCGTAGTGCTAGGGCTCCCATCTGCCATCAGATGACTTTCTGCCTGACTGAGCTGCACCTGTGGTCTTTGAAGACTACCTTACATATTAGTGGTGAGCTGTTACCTGTTAATAAAACAAAATAGCAAAGCCTGTTGATGAATATTAAATTGATATAAAATTCTGAATACTTAAATGAAGTAGGTTTTAAGCTTAGGAGAAAGAAAATTAGAAAGCAAGATTATGTTTGGACTTAGTTTCTCTGCTTATCTCATCGTAGAATTGGAGCATCCTTTCAACTCTGAAATGTTGAGATTATATTTAACTGGTTGCCTTTTCACTTTTGGGAAGCTATACCCTACTCGACTTTAAGCTTCAGCATAGTAACTGATTTGGGTGAATGAAGATCAATAGTCAACTTGATTTGCAGTGGCATTTTGATTTGTACTTAGTATGAAAATAAGAAATTGCTTCATGTTCCAGGTATTTTGCATGATTATATGAAGCCTTGTACGTACAAGGAAACACTAATATTTTTAATTGATTATTCTAGGAGACACTAAACTATTTACCAACACTTCATTCACCTTGTCTTACTATTGCTAAAGTAAAAAAAAGAAACAAACAAACCCTACTGAGTTATAAATGGATCATTGTTTATGACACTTCATGTCCATTGTACTGTGTTTTCATTGAAAACCGATCAAGTGTTATTATCATTCAAATATTGACTCGTGCCATAGCAACCTGTCTGTGTGTGAGAACTGTTCTGGTTCTGTAACAATTATATAAGTGTGTGGGCATACTGTACCTATTTTCCATCTTTGACATTGTCTTTCTACATTTCTGCACCTGAATTTCTCCCCGTAATGTCTTTTGAGTTTAGAATGCATTTAGAATGACATGCAGTGTCAAATAAATTGTTGTAAAACACTGCAGATTTAAGTCAGACTTAGATCTATTGGTGGAGCTTGCCATGGTATACCTAAGTATTTGGCAGTCAGCCACATTAGAAGCTGGCTTACAGTCTTATGGTAGCCCAAGCATCCAAATTTCTTTGCCATGGAACCTGGAGGATAGAGGGAGATGCTCTGGGTGAGTGCACGCTTGTGTTTGATGCTGATAGGCTGTTGGTATATAGCCAGGGCTTGCCCTAAGCCATAGGAATAAATACATGCTTTTGCATCTATTACGACAGTAGGCAGTAATACCTATAGATCAATATTGGATCCTTTGGATAGGCAGCTTCCTGAAATCCACAAATGTTAAAAAAAAATATTACTGTTGACTTCAACTTGCCTCAGAAAACATTTCTTGTTATTCTAAGGTACAGTCTGCATTTACCTGTGTTTCTTACCTTTTGTTGTGAAAGAACACAAAAGATGGTCATTAGGAAAGTGGTTAAAAAACACTTTTAAGTGTTGGCAGCTGGAAGAGAATCAAAGCATATGTGAAATGACAGCTGCAAACAAATCTAAGGACCTGGCATGTGCTCCTTCAGCCCTAGCTTGCTGATTCTTGAAACTCCAACTGGAATTCAGAGTAAATTCTGCAGTTTTTCCACTCTGGCTTGCAATTTAACTCCAAGTACTTTGCTCCAGCTTGCTTGAATTGTGATGCTGAACTTTGCTTGCTAAGTTATGTTTTGTTTCCAGTGTCACATCAATAACTAACTGTATTTCTATTTGATTATATAGATGAAGACATTGGGGTACATCAGTACTACGACAAGAAAGAGCCAGGTAAAATAAACACCCATAACTAAAACTAAACAGGGCTCCCAGATGTTCAGGGTCCTTTGGCAGATGCAGTTCACTCTGAAAACTTCCGTTTTGAATTTTTGATCTGTGCCTCTGTATTTCTATGAAGTAGGCATGAGTAGAGACTCATTTATCCAAGTTACTTCAGAGTATTTAAAAACTCTTTACTCAAAAGGAAAAAAGAAGGCTGTGGGAAAATATCTACATAACAATGTATTGTGTGTAATTTAATATCTCTCCAATACAAATAAAATTATAAAAGACAAGCTTTGTGCCATCAAAACCTTATTGGGATTTTGTATTTTGTTTTTATATTGTGTTTCTGTATTCCTTTCACCTATTGCAGAATGCTAAGACACTTCTCAGACACTGTGCTTCACTGGGCATGCAGGTGCTGGCTGTTGCAGGAATTCGGGATTTGCTGCATCCCAGCAGAGGGCATCATGGATGCACGAGTGCTGCTCTGGCCTCCTGCAGCCCTCGCTGCTATCTGAAATAGCCATTTCAGAGTGAATGATCAATTTTCTTTATCTGATTAATCCTGTTAATCCTGGAAGTTTCACGATGGGCCAAAAGGTCTCTTCAGCTGGAATTGCTTCCCATTTGCAGCCAGGTTGGAGTGGAAGCTTGTGTGGGCATCCCTGGGCTCAGTGTGGTGGGTCACCCGCTGTCTCTGTGCCTCTGTTGATAGACCGACTCAGCTGCTCCTCTGTGTTCAGTTGCAGCTCACTTCCCTATCTGATGAGAGTGGAGGCTCAGTAATACTGGCCCACCTGTTGGGCCTCATAAGCCTTTCTTTCACTGCAAATTTAAGATATCTGACTTAAGAGGTGAAAACATCAGGACTGTCTTTATTTTTTTTTGTAAATTTCTGTGTTTTATCACAATATGTGACTCCTCTCTAATATTAATATTTGCTGACAGCAGTTGTAAGGATTATCGTGCATCTTTTCATCTGTTCTTTTCTCTAGGATCACAAATGAAGCATGGGTATTTGGAAGACAAGCAAAAGCTAGCAGAATGTAAGGATGTTTTCTCAGTTTCTTGTTAGAGTAAGACAAAATTATTGTTTTGTATTGATGATACAACTGGAAAAACTTAAAATAATAATAATAATAATGTCAGGCTGTTTCCAGTGTAACTTTGTGTCTGTGCCATTTTGTCTCTGCATTACTAACAAAACAATAGAAAAGTTGTAACTACTCCTTCCTGGCATATTTGTGTTTTGTCTTGGTCTTTTTTCTGTTTCACTGAGGTTAGTAGTGTGCATTGCTTCTCAAATTCATTATCAAGAGAAGTCACAAAAATGAAAGTTACCCAGCATATGAACCTAAAATATTTTCCAACTTAGCTCTTACATCAAAGCACCAACTGCCTCAAAACTGAAAATTATAGCTAAAATATTTTCATCCAAAATCAACTTGCAGGTTAATAACCAGCTGTCTTCATAGAACATTTTTAGCTTTGAAACGTGTACATGGTTGCTGCATTATCAGTTTAAAAACAGTTCAGTTTATTATCAGTTCAGTTTTTTTAAGGCAAAGTGTGCTCTGGAAAGAGAAGTTATTTGCAGCACCATAAGTTGGGTTTGAAGCAGGATGAAACCCTGCTGGAGGTGGTTATAAAGGTGCACACAGCTGCGTGGTAAATCTATACCTGCTATGGAGGGTTGTGTGTCAGAATCAATACAGCTCTGTAAAGGTGGGGAGGGTTTTAAGCAGGGAGGAGCATAATGGATTTACATCCCTTGTGCTTCATGTAGCATTATCGAATAGGCGCTGGCTGTATGAAAAGAAGCAGGCTCAGATAAATCCAGTTATACAGAAACCTCAAGCATGCAAAAGAACACAAGCTGCTACATCTTGTGGTTGTAAATATTGGAGTGGCCTAAAGAGAAAACAGAACAGACATTTCTTCAGGAGGAGCGCTGGGTAACTTTATTCATGGCTGCTGATTTGTATATATATAGTTTAGCATCCATACAGCCAATTTCCCATTTTACATATGTGGATACATATTCCAGTATTTATGAAGGCAATTATTGAAAATGTGATCTTACATGCCTAATTAATATTATCATAACAGTTCCACCAACGCTGGCTTTTGTCCAATAAAATACAAAGAGAAGTTGTATGCTTGTGTGCTCTTTTGTTGATAGATGAAATCCTTTTTTTTTTCTTTTTTTTTTTTTTTTCCCCCCCACTCTAGAGCACTCTTTTTGTAAGCTCCTTTTTGTAGAGGAGTTTAAACACTACTGTTACGTTATTCAGTCTGGAAGTTGGTGTACAAACTGACAGCTCAGAGCCCAAAACTTTTAATCAAATTTCCCTTAAATGCACTAGATTTTAAAAAGACAGTGTGTTCTAATTTCTCATGTTGTTTATTGTGTACTCAAGAACAGAAAACTGCTCACTTTTAAATAATGCAGTTTCACAAGCCTGATTCTCAGCCATGAAACGAGCCTAGTAATACGCAGCTGCAGGAAGCTTTGCCTCCTGTTTTCAGTGTTTATGTATTACCCCCCAATTTTCAAAATATTTTGCTAAATATTAATAATTTTTGTTAAAGGACTGTGGAAGTCATGTGGTTTCTGATTTCCTTGACTAGGCAGATTCTTAGGAACAAATTTTCCAAGAACAAATCCCGTAAATAACTATACTCCATAATATAGCCTATAGTGTTCACAGTTACCTGTTGTTAATACCTCTATATATGCATAAATTCATGCATAAATGATTTGCAGACACGTCAGTGCCTGCTTTTTGAAATTGGCAACGAAATGTTAGTTCTAAAGAATAGCACCTGTTGAAGATTTGGTAACTTGAATCTGAATTAACATACTGAATATGAGATGCTTTCTCATTGCAATTGCTTAGCAGCTGAGCAGGATATTCCATCCTGAGAGCTTTGTGCACAATTGCTACGGTGAATTCATAGCCAGTGTGGATATTTTATGCTAACTGTTCCTACAGTAGAGCTTTTCAAAAGGAAATCACTTAACAATAGAAACCATAGCCATTCCCTTCCAATTATAGGTAAGTCTTGTGTTTAGGGTATCTCCTAGAAAACCTAGTTTATATTTCCACAGCAAAAGAAGTTCAACTTGTAGAACTTTTATTATATTTAATGGCTGTTTGCATGCGCACATGCATGCGCACACACTCGTGTGTGTGTGTGTGTATATATATATATATATATATATATATATATATATATATATATATACTCACCTATACATTATTTTTCTTTTAAAAACCTTTTTTGCCTCTTTCATTTGCCAGCTCGAGATTACCCTTGGATACTGAAAAACAAAAGACCAGAAAAACTGCGAGATACACTGAAGGAGGTTGAGGTATGTTTCAGAACTTTCAAAAACGGTAACAGATGATCTGGTTTTCAAACCCCTTTCAACAGCTTTAATTTTCATCAAGATCCAACTGTCCCTGTGTTGATAATGCGCTTTTGTCTGGCGGATGGTTCCACAACCACTGGATCTTTGCGTAGCATACTTATCTGTAAACTTGAAAATCCAAAGTAGGTTAACTGATATTGGCAATGCATACTGCCAACTCCATTCTCTGTTTTTTGTTGTCCTTTAGGACTTAATGCAAAATGGTCGATGTGTGCTGAGCAAATGGAAGAACAAATGTATCTGCCAGGTAAAACATTTTGACTAGGTCTTGCTGTGTGAAGCTGAACAAGCATTCAGTGATGGATGCGATAGCGTTAACACGTTAAATAATACTGAAAGTCATTGGGGTTTTTAATGTATGAGGCTCTTATTACCTAGATTTTGTTTATTGAAGTTCCTAATATGAAATAGATATTACAAAACAAAAATCTGGGTTTTTTCACAGGAGAAATTATATGAACGGTGCCTGATTCTGTAAGAATTTATTATGGGGGAAAACTGAAAGCATCCTAAACCTTGGAAAAGCAGGCTAAGAGAATGATTACAATATATAGACAAGTCTGGAATCTGTTATATTACATTTTTTATCCTAATTACTTACATCTGTGTTGTGAAGTTTTTTACTTTATGCTTAAATAGTATGGGAGGGAGACTGTAAGCCTAAGCTAGCTAAATAAAGTAATGGAGCGGAAGACACTGTGATAAGCAGCACATGTATATATGTTCTCTGTCTACCTAAGTTCCATGTTTGTATACAAAAAATAACTTTTCACATCCTCATAACACAAAGTAGTAGGATAGGTGGGAGACTGGCACATTAAGCATATGCTTTAGCTTCTTAATCAAGAGTTTGCTCTGACTGACATCTGTAATATATAGAAGTTCCTACAGATTTCATTGTTTATGAGGAACGTGCGTGTTTAAAGCTAACTTTGCATTGTAGATACATGTGTTACTGTTTCCAAGGGAAATCGAGTTTTAACTTTCATCCTTTTCTAGTTTCGTAATTTTTTTTTCTAATCCAAGTAGTTTCAAATGGAAATCAACTGGATGACTGTTAAATATTTGAAAAATAGTGCTGAAATTCCTGAGAAGTCTTTAGGAGCAGCAAGGTTTTTCTAAGCACCTGACACATCACGTGCTATGAAGTCTTTTTGTATCAATAATAAGGATGTTGTTGTCTAAGCCTATCAGATCTTATCATTAACAAATGTATATAATTCGTATACAGATTACGTTTTATTCATCAGTGAATGTTAATCTTCTAGAATGGATTACATATTAATTGCATGCTAATTTATATGAATTTTTTTCTGTTGTTATTGTTCTGATTAGAAAAGGAATGTGGTTAAGAAATACTAAGTCAATTAGCTGTGTGTTCATTTGCTTGTCAGTTTGCTATCTCTTCATTTGCTTTCCCAGTCCCTTTTGCTATCATTTTCCTTCTCCTCCCATCTCTATATATGCGTAGACCTGCATCCCTTACCAATGCACACTTTGGAACAGTGCACTTCTTGCCAAAATTTGGTTGTTCTTTATTACATCTCTATTTGACAATCAGTTGTGTATAAAACACTATTTTTGAATTTAACATCCTCTAAATGATTTCAGGCCTAGATAAACAAAGAGCAGACAATACAAGTTAACTTATTCGTTGTTCATAATGAGAAATAAGAGAGATGGCTCTATATTGGATTGAATCGTATAAAGGGATAGAACATAAAAAATTGAGTAATTTTAAAAGATTTTAAGATGACATATATAGTAGGTAGCCAGAGTTAAAGTTACAGATAAAAAATCTTATTCATCTCTTTCTCCTTAAATTTTACTTTTGGTTTCTCAATCACAAGATAAAATATTTATAATATAGTAATGACTTATAACTGAACTCGCCAACAGCATTTATAATTTTCTGCCATGATGATATTCCACCTTGTCTTCTTCAGGAATATAAGCTGCCCAACAAACAAAAATAAAATATGAAAAATCAATAGTTCGGAAGGATCTTGATTAGAAAACCTGTCTTGTATCAATGGTTGTGTTTGCACTGCTCATTTGCCTTTGAACATTCGTGCAGGAAAAAAAAAGTCACGTTTTGAAATTCTGAAAAAGAGGTTATTCACTCTTTTTTTTTTTTTTTTTTTTTTTAATTTAGAACAGGAGACTGATTCACTAGAAATGGTGTGATCCTTACAACAGCACAAATGTATTCACATTCTGCTTTGGATAGATACCAGAGCAGCTGTTCATGGAAAAAGGAGAGTCCATGTTTGCATTAACTTTCAAGTGTAGTAGAAAACAACAACCTGGAAAGCATGGAATAAACTGGTCTGTCATAATTTTCAGTGTTTTGGGCTAAGTTTGATACAAATGAGTGGTGAGGTCCTGGAACGGGCTGCCCAGGGAGGTGCTTGAGTCAGCAGCCCTGGAGGTGGCCAAGAGATGTGTAGATATGTTACTAAGGTACATGGTTTCATGGGTATCATTGGAGGATGGTTGGGCTGGATGAACTTGGAGGTCTTTTCCAACCTTAGTGGTTCTATAATTCTGTGATTTGAATTCTAGCATCTTCATTTTTTTAGCTCTCCATTCTATGACAGTAGTGTAATGCCAAATAAATTCTACAGTAGTAATTAAAATAATTTCTATTAATTAATTATTAATTATTTTATATGTATATAATTAATAACAGCCGTTTCTCTTGTCAGTATTTGTTCTGTGCATCTGAATCTGCTGTATCTCTAGCTGAACCAGGAAGCGTTCCCTTTCCTTTGTAATAAAGATATGCTATGTGAAAACTCAGTGGTCACTGTATCTTTAGTAAGACAGAATGAATAGAAGGAAAAAAAGTTAACTGAAAGGAGATAGGATGATAGCAATACTGTAAAAAAAATAAATAAATAAATAAAAAAGCACAGGTCTGCTGTTAGAGTGCTTTCTGGAACCTAAAAATCACTATTACTAATCTCTCATTGCCTCCTCCAAATCTTCTAGCTTCTAAATAGCCCGCAGGCAAAAATTACAGTCTGTAAACTTAAATGTGCATCTTCTAAAAGTGAGTTTGTATGTAATGACCAATTAGCCTTCACTGAAAAGTATTGTTAGCTTGCATGCAGATTATGCTTTGTATGCATGGGTTTCTCAAAATTGGCTCTTGTAGATGAGTTTGCCTAGAACTACTGCTAAAGCTGTACTGTCCCAGCTTTACACCTTTCTTAATGTTTCATTTTATGCATCAACATTTCTCCTATTAATTTTTTGTGCACAATCAGTGTATTGCTGAAGAAAATTTATTGACCTTTATTTTTTTTGCAGTCTCCAGTCTTTATTCAGGTAGTGCTTAGAGCTTCTGAAATAGAAAGTGTGCCAGTTCGTGTAAAAATAGCCTGGACCGTATAGAGATTTTTTTCAAGGAATTTCCACTCCTATTTAAAAGAGCTTAGTTGAGCCCTAAAGGTCTGAGCTCTTTTCTTTAACTTCATTGCTACTAGTTCTAGTAGGATCTGAATGCACACCGTTTCTTTACAGTACTTCTGAACCCCAACTTTGATGACCTGTGATGAGCTGCTGAAATAATCCTGTAATCTTCTGTTAGCTGGTGTCAAAAGAAAGTAAACAGATCATAAAAGAAGTGTGGCAGAAAAAAGACAAGAGGCCTTTACAATAAAAGGGCACTGTGTTGTTTATAATTAAATTGCTTTTCCCTGTCTGAAAGTAATGATCTAAGGAATTAACTTTATCAATACTTTCAAGTATAGCTTGAAGAAGTTCTGATTTCTTCCCTTCCATGGTCTCCTCTAATTCTTTGGAATGATTTTAAGTTTTACCACAAAATCATGAAATCAGTCCTATGAAATTATGCTGTTGATTCAAGTTTGGTTTAACAACATAGGGTTGTAGAAATTAGTATGATGTAGCTGAAATATTTGATTTCCAACTTTTTTTACATTTGTATATCAGTGTAGAATTGAGTACATGCTAACAGAGAATTGTTTTACTTTATAAGTAAGTGCCAAGCAGTGGATGTGAATCGTATCAGTTACCTGCTAGTGAAAAAGATTTATATATTCTGTGCTTAATAACTATGATCTAACCTGATTTGTGTTGCAATTTACATAAGCACACGAATGGTTTTTAAGTTACCATCACTGACATACATAAAACTGAATTGAGATACAGCAGTATGTGCTGACACAGCTTGTTATATCAGCTACTGTGCCCATAAGCAAACTGATTTAGCAAGATATGTGGTGACATACAGTAGTGCAACTGATATAAAAATCAAGACACTAGGTCTAGAATACATGAGAAGCAAGTATCCATCACCAGTTAATAAGAGGAACACTGCCCTCCTATTAAATTATTTTGGTTGCTTTTGATCACAACTATTACTGTGTTGTGTGGTTTGAGAGATTTGGAGCTAGGAATACAAATGCATCGATTGTTGTGAAACAGTAACATGTAACAACAGTAACTTCATTTGTAATAAGGCATGCAACAGAGTAATTACAGTAGGGTGGCTAAGAAAGCAAGCTGGAATGAAGAGGTGGGGAAAAACCCTGGGAACCTGCTTGAACAAGAAGTGCTTTGCAATTCTCTTCTCCTTTTGCATATTCTTTTGTCAGTTGGACTCTGTAAGGGAAAACAGTTTGGAGCAGTATTTTTTTTACAGGCATATTTTTCTTCTCTTCCAATTTTAATCAGATAGAGGCAAATCCTGGCTTTGCTCTGCAGGTATCTTTCTAGGTAGAGGGGCTGATAAGCAGCTAAGCTGCATGAATGAGGAGTCAAGGGCTATGGCTTCCAAGGATAAAGGAATTCATTTAAGTACATGCTCAAGATCTACTGAAGTTCATCGGTTTTGAGTATGTACTTAAGTTCTTTGCTTAGTAGAAAGTAATACACATATGGAGCACTTTGAAAGGAAGGGCTCTGTCATTCTGTGAGTATCCTTTTCTCCTTCAAATGTCTTGCTTGCCCATCTTAGAGCCATTTTGGCACACAAAGTTCGTAATTCCCTGTACCAAGTCTTCTTGTTCAGCTTCCTGGTAACATGGCTCTCTCTTTCAAGTTCACCAGATGCCCAAACATTTAGCTCATACTTTGTTCAAGCATAAAAATATTCTTCCAAATAGGCATGATGTCATGTTCTTATGTTTAAGAGCACTTTGAGACTGTTAAAGCTGTATCAATGTCTCTTCTGATTCCCATTTTTTAGATCACAGTACTTCAGTCTGAAAGATTTATGATTTATTTCATTCATGTGGTTTTTTTTCCCCCTTAATTTGATATCTCACAAATGGAATAACTTTGTGCCAGGTATAAATAACACCTTTGACATTTGCTTTTATTCCTTGGTAATGATGAGCAATTCCCCTGAGCGGTACTTCTTAGAGTTGGAATGCTGTGTATCTGCGTGTGAGCCAAGTTTGCAGTCTTTCCCATTTCCTCTACATTCATTCATGCTTATCATTGGACTGCTCCCATCCACCAGAATATGAGCTTAACTGCACAAGTACCTGTACAACACCTGGATCTTATTATCATGTGGCAGTCTTTGCACACAGAGTATAAGGAATTGAAATAGTGTCGAGCAGATAAGTATTTTGTTTTGTAGAATATTGTTGATAAAAGATAATGTGTTACTACTTCATTTAAATATTTGCTTGTGTTTCATGGCAAACTTCAAGAACTTTATGAAACATGTATGTTCTCTGCATTGTAACATTTTAATTGTGGGTCTTTTGTACTAACTGTTTGTTTTTCATTTCCCAATATTATTTATCCTATAAGAAAAGTTTTAGTATTCCTTTCTAACATGACATTCATGTATTGTAAAAGACAGATGCAACCATTATGGCTTCATCTGAGAAATGTCAAAGTGAGTTATTTTGTAGCTAACCATTTGCTTCATATGTATGTTATGTACTGAACTTAGTAACTTCTGTCATGTCACCATCTATACTTGGAATAGACTGTCTTGAATTCCAGTTAATCATTTTTTTTCCCTTCAATGTATTCTTTCGTTCTGAAATGCCTCTCTCAGAAGGGTTCTCTTAAAGACTCCTCTGTTCTAATCAGAAAGATTTTTAAAAGGAGAACGTCCCTGTTCACTGCAGGTGAGTTGGATTAGATGGCCTCCAGAGGTCCCTTCCAACTCTATGGATTCTATGATTCTAAGAAATACTACCATTACAAGGCCATGTGTAAGGTCTTTGATTTGGACTGTAAAATTTCTAGAGGCAAGGATTTAAACCTGTAGAGCACAAATGTAATACCAGACATGATAAGTAAATTATTACAGCAAAAATTAGTTCAATTGAATATCAAGCTTTGCCTAAACATCTCAAAGTTCTGCAGAGAATAATAGGAAGAAATGTTTCACTGGCAAAATAAAAAGGGAGAGGAAAGGAAATAAAAATAGAAGCCATCAAACTAATTTTTTTAACCTATTTTTTATCACTGTACCTATGCAGTATTGAAAATACTTAGCATTGGTTCAGTGACCAGTTTCATACATGTAAAACAAAGGATGAACATACTGTAATTTTGTTTATATGAGAGTCTCATCATTCACTGTGGAGAAGTTTCCATAGGTGTCCGTTCTAGCTCTGTAACAGGTTTGACTTGTGAAGAAGAAAGTGAACATATCAGCAGAAAGTAAATTTATACCTGGAAACGTGTAAGAGTTAAAGAAGCCTAACCTTGTATTTCTTTATTTCTCTCAAGCCAGGAGTTGCAAGCATGTCTCTACACGGCATACTGCACAGGCATATTAAATGTCAGCAGAATGACAAACACATGGCCTCATTCCGGAGTGCGCTCACTCATTAGTGTAATGGCTGGCTACAGACCACAACACAGTTTTCTTCTGGGCTTTACCTGGAGAGAGTCAATGTGGTATCCCTACTCTGTCAGGTAAACCAGGAGTCTACGTACTTCTGATTTACCAATGCCATCCTCCTGTTTGACTCCAGTATACTTTCCTCAGCCTTTGCAAGGAGATAGCATGGGAACAACTCACACTCTCCTGGCAGAAACATTTTCTGCAAGTGGAGCATAGCTCCTGAGCAAAGGTGGTGGGGAAGATGCAAGATGGGGAGTATGTGATTGCACTAGCTCTCTTATTGGTGCATATTACTGAAGGATTTGCAGTGTTTTTTCTTCTCTGGCTTTCTGATATTCACTGAAAATTTAGAACTGCTTATCTTAGCATATTTATGTAATATTGCTTGATAACTATTTTCTTGCACAGTAGCTTGTCAACTTCTGTGTTTCAACCCTCACTTTTTCAACTATGTTCTTTGGACACTTATAGCTAACCATAGTCAGACTTTGCTAGACTTACATTATCAAGTTGGAAATAAATTGTGATTTTATCTAATCTAACTTCAACGTGAGGATAAATTGAAGTTTTGAAAGACTCTAATAAGAGCTGCATGAGTGTAACTGTGTCTAATATTTTTACTAGGACAAAACCTTAAAGGACATCTGTCATGACAGAGAATGTCGAAACACTTTATGCATACATATATATATATATATATGTATTTGTATGTGTGTGTATGTGTGTGCTTCAAACCAATGTATGTAGACTTTGGTAGGATAGGAAACGAAATCATTTGTTCTTAACAAATTAATTTTATATCATAGGTATTTTTTGTTTTTATTTCAGAAGTTGCTGGAATTTGTTTTCGAACTACTGTGAGCTGGCAGGAAGATAGACTTGAAAAAGCATTGATTGAAAATATTAGTTAGGGCAAGCAACTAATCTATTTAAATATGCTGGTCCTGTTCTTTGCTACAGAGAGCACAGAAATAAAGTAATAACAAAATAGGTAGAGTTGACAGTTTTCATAGCTAAACAGTTGGGAACAGAGCACTGAATAAGAGGCAACTTCATTGGATTGCTGCATTCTGGTTCCCAGCACTTCCATTGCTCTAGCGGAGTTGCATGACATATTTGTCCTTTTGGTATTGAAACATTACTGTGTGAAACAGAGGAAAAAAAAATCTGTAATGTATCCATAAGGTAAAAGAGATTCAGATCAATTATATTACTGTTGTCTGTAACATATGAAAAAGACAGAAGAGGTGTGGTGTCTCACCTCATCTCTCCCAGTATTATATTTTCTTGTGCACTTTGCCTGGTGCTTTCATGCTGGGGTGTTGTACTAAAAAAACTAAGCTGCAACTACATTTGTGTCAGAATTATAGCATGAAACCAACAGCCAAATTCTACTGCAAGGACAATCATTTCACTAGTTGAAAGTTTTTTAAAAAGTACTGAGATTTTATTAAAAATCTGCTTTTAGGCAGAAGAGCTGGAACTGCTTACTTCTGGCCTTTGCTGAGTCCCTGCTATATTTCTTCAGTCATTTTTCCTCAGAGCATCCTTTGCCAGAAAAGATTGCTCAGTTTTTAGGCTGATGTGGTCTCTGCTGAAGTGATAACTATTTTTTTTTTTAGTGATCAGAGGGAAATGAACCCATCTGCCAGGATGAGTCCTTCAGAGTTGCAACCATATGCCAGGAGCTAGAGCTGATCTGAAATGTCTTTAACTTCTATACTGAGGTCATCTATTCCTGCAGCATGTGGGATCAGAGGTGGAACTAGGTGATAAATTAAAATGCTCGTCTCTTTGCAGTACTGCCTGTGAAGATCAAAGTCATTTTTCATCAAATCTTTCATTGTTTTTACATCAAGGTTTTTCCTGAGCCCAAATTTGGAAACAAGATAAACAATTATATGGTCAGATTGTTTTAAAAACCCTGATAACATCTTTCACCATGTTACTAAGAAAGCAGTATTTTTCTTAGAAAGCTTTTCTTATACTGAAATAAAGTTGGCAAAGTAAATACCATTCAAGATTGGGAGGATTGGTGTTTGTTGTGAATGGTTTTGTTCTAATAGTTGCATTCAGGAAGTTATCAAGTTTAATGAGTTAATTATGCAGAAAGTAATGTTTTTTGTGACACTTCCTACTGTGCGTTATCTCTTTCATGCAAGATTTGGCATCAGGAAGAGCTGATAAATATGTGACTTATTCTTTGAGATTAGATGTATAATGTAATTGACACTAATTAGGCGGAAATAGTTAGCACTGAGAGAAGCCTCTGAATATTCTGTCCAGTAGTTTAAGTTTCTTCTTTCTAAGGGAGACGTGTCTGATGATATGTGGAGTATATGAATTTATTAGGAGCCCAGAGCTATGAGAATGGTAGAGTACCGTTAAGTTAAACAGTATACAAATGGTCAGAAATAACTGGACTTAGCAAAAAGGTGCTCTTTATAATCTCTGAAAGTAATATAAAACTACATGAAGTGTAAGCTTGTGTGCTTTTTTATTGCAAGCTATGCTGTTACATTTTTTTTAACAGTGAAATCAAGTGGTGACAGGGACAGTATGAACACATTAGAAAAACATTTTACTCTGAAGGTCTATGGATGGCTTTTACAGTGTCTCAAGTTCAGTAGCTAAAAAACTGCAGCATGCCCCACATTATTAAATGTATTGGAAATTCTTGACCCACTATCCATATACAGAAGCATGTAAATAATAATACGTAAGCATTAAATAAAAGCATATTTAAATGCTTAACAAATAATGGTATAATTAATTATTAACTAAGCATTTAAATATGACATGGAAGAAGTAAAAGCAAGAAATGTAAGATAAATCATTTCTTGACAGTTTAGAGTGATCAATTTATCCCACATTCAGGACAGAATTTACTTTTGTTTTTTAGACGGCAAATTCAGTACATGGTATTCAACACTTAGGGACCCAGCATGCACCATCTTCAATTGTTATTCATTTGTAATTCTTGTAGCCACATGATTCAGTGTCGTATTACACCTCTCTTTTTCATTGAAAAAGCTTTCAGAGTTATTATAAGACATCTTCACGTCTAAGATAAAAGTCTTCTTCGTGATTTTGAAAATAAAATTGCTACGTAACAGCTGCTAATACCTACCTTGGAACGTTTCGTATTATTAATGATTCCTGATGTCTTGTTTTCTCACTGTTTGGATTTAGCTCCTCTTTCATTCGGGTATACTGGTCTCCCTAAGCCTTTCTGGGCCACAGCTGGAGAAAGTGATGATTGACAGGACCCTGGTGGGGAAGCTCATCTCCGACACCATCAGCGATGGTAATTACACCCACGTGCAAATCAATTGCCTACATTAACAATGGAGTAGAGAAACAGTATGTCAACAGGTAGACTAATTATTGCCACTGGGGACTTGCAAACACAACAAGTAATTGCATGTAATGCCATAGTTACAACCCTCAGGACTAAGAACACTTTAAGAATAATAGTTAACATCAAAGTTTTCAGGCTTGTCAAATACTGAATAGGTTTCTAAAATTACACATTTTAATAGCTATAAACATGCCATCTGAACTTCTGTTTATTTCATAAGTGGGAAAATGGAACAGAAAGAAACTCTACCCAACTGATTAATTACATGGAATAGTTGTTATTAAAATATTTTATTAGAAAATATAATGGATAACATTATTTAGGTGGAGGTGTTCTGGTTTAGTTTATGGATTTCCAGCATCTCACCATCATGATTAACTAATGACTAATTATAAAGATTTTATTTAGTGCAAAGGGAAAAAAAGGTACCTGTTTTTAAGAGCATTTAAATACAACTATAGCTTTTTTAATGTGTCTTTACTTAGCTCCACTGACAACCAGAAGTCAGTTTCTTGGCATCTGCATGATCAAGAGTAGGGAATTTCACAGTATCTTTCAAATTCTTAAAAAGTATGTCCAAATTACATTCTTTTAATATCAATATATGCTAGATTTAGCTTTAACCTTTAATGATTTCTTCTCAACCACACTCAGGCATCTATTGTCTATTGACCTGGCTATTTAAGAAACCCACAATGTCCCTCTCATCTTCTCCTTCACTATGAGTTTAGTCCTGAAAAATATCATTAATATAACTATGTTAGTTGAATCTTTAGGATCCAATAAAAATGAACCCTAACCTCACTTATTGTATGAAGTTGTAGAATGCACTTAGCATCATGACTTTTTTTTTCCCTCTTCCCCTAGTTAGCAGACTACTCGGTTGTCTGACCTTTTTCCCTGTTGTTTTCAGAGGGAGCACTTCATATTTAGAGGTGGCAAAAAGTAGGAAAGCGTCAAAGCTTTCAGTGATACCCACATTGAAATTGTTTGTTAGAATTTATGTAGAATTTACCCTCTCTTCTAAATTTTTACTACTTCGTAAATAGTAAATAATTAAATTATCTGTACAATGCATTACATTGCCTTAGAGCGTTATATATATACAATTAAAAAAACCTTACTACTTAGAAAATTTGACCACTATAATAAAGCAACAACTACATTTTTCTACAGTTATATACTCAAACTGCTATAAATAAGATTATGTAATAATTTATCCTTTTATTCGCTTACTCAAGTGTTTATTAATGTCCACATCTGAAGGTGAAACAGGGCTTCTTCTGCTCAGTAAAAAAAAAACCCTCCAATTACCTGTCATTGTAATATATATTTTTTAATGAACAATAAAAGTAGATACTTTTTTACCCACAGAAATGGTGTTCAAAATACAATTTGTTACACCAAACTCGCCTCGCTGTGAGCCAAGACATAATGTTGTCCTAGAATAAATTAACTTTAATCCAGCATCATTTCCTGTCTTTCCAAATCTGGATTGGAATCAGATTTGCTCAAAAGCAATTTGATTTTTAATACAAGAAATGTGTTTGAAAATAATGTGTGTATATATATGTGTGTATATATATATATAACATGAATATGTTGAAATGGATAAGGATTAAAATCTACCACCTTGACGTTGTAATGTCTCAGAGTAGCATGCCCTCTTAATATGTAGAATAATAGAAGTCAGATTGCATGCAGGAAGCACAGAATTAAGATTGCGTTTATCATGCTCATGCCTCCACTAAAGCGCTCTTAAAGTTTACTTTCATGTAGGTAAAATAACAACCTTTTTAAGAAGTTAATTAGAAATTATTAAAAAGTTGCCTTCCTGAAAGACAGCAGTATTTGTCACTTTGTTTTGTGGCACTGAGGCCTTGAGTAAGGCGTAGGATATTGTCTGCACTGCCCATCTCTGTAGGGTAATCAGACCCAGCAGCATAATACAGGGCACCTCTCTGAATAATGGCATGACTATGCCCGCAGTTGCATTCACATAGATCTAATTGGCATCAGAATTTCTAAGCTTGCTTTTCAGATGTTGAAAAAAATATCGACAGAACCTTCCAGTGTTTATGCCATGAATCATACACGTCTATTTTATTGTTATTAAAGCAATAACAGATGTGCATCACCCCTCTGTAGTTTCTTATCTTTCACCTCATGTATCTTATCTGTGTGTAGTCTTCTGCCCCAAGCCCGTGCCGTCCTCCAGCAGAGCCTTTCTGGCTGCACAGCCGGGTGGTCTGAGCATGGCCAAGCCCTGCACTCCTGCTCCTTCCACTCCTGCCCCGCAGCCGCGGTTGCTGTAAATCACAGCGCTGCTCGTCTCATCCACACCTGCCCAGGGATCTTCGAACCCCGCTTTGTTTTCTTCAATCAGAGCAAGTTATGGAAGCGCTGGATGTGTGCTGTAGATCATCTTTAATGTACGCTGTGTCTGTGAGGATATAAAAAATATTTTAATTGGGTACATATTGCAGCTACGCACTCAGTGACTTTGAATTTTCACGTGTTTAGGAGCTCAGTTATAGCTTCTAACTCCCAACATCTTGATCGCTTTTATTTTTCCAAAAGGTAGTGTTAATGTAAAATTTCAAAAGCAATTTTTTGACTTTAAATTTACCCCTTGGCATTTGCACACCAGATAGTTCAGAGCTGTGCCAGTGCATGACCATTGGAAAATGCAACCGGTTGTGAAAACAGGCTAAATCAAAGCAAAGCTGAATAGTCAGTATTCAGTGCTTACCTTTAAGACTCAGCTGCTGACAGAAACTACTTAAGGATATTAAAAATGCATTCAAAAATCTAGGATATTTGTCACAAATGCATTTTTTTTTTTTTTCCAGGGCTGTTCTGCAGGGATTTTGTTTTTTAAACCCAGTTCCAATTTTCCTAGCATCTTCCAGTTTGAGTTTACTTTCTGAAAACAGCTTGCTAGCTTTACATTAATCCTGATTCTCATTAACAATTCTTCAGCAATCTGGTACTAGTTACCCTGATGGCACATTTCATTCTCAGATATCTCTTTAAATGTAAGCAGTGTTTCAATAACTGGATAACACTTGGGAAAAATCCTAGATAGCATTGTCTAATTAATTTTCATTGTCAAATTAGTTAATCAGTTTTATATTGAACTATTTTGGTCTGTTAATCAGTTTTACATTGAACCATTCCACTGCACTTTTTCAGACTTCAAGGGAATCCATTCCATCTTGGTTTTCTGTATTGCTCAGGTACCCACAAGTCAAGCTTTCAACAAGTACATAACCTCTCTGAAGCATAATTCTGTATGTAACAGACACAGACCTGCAGTGTCAAAACACCAGGTACACCTCAAGTGCTAATTTGCCTTTATCATCCTCAAAACTGGCAGTGCTGCATTAGGTGCCCTTCCAGAACACTGGTGGATGTTACTATAGAAAAAAATGGAAGGGTAAACTGTGATGAAAACGGATGTGGAAGGGCATAAAACGTATACCTGAATGTAGAGGTAGGTTGATGTGAGATAATTTATGCAGGGTTATGTAATCTGACTACTCTCTAAGCTTCATTTCTCATTTCCAAGAAGGTCCTGGCAGGATGACACATGGATGTCTTTTAAGAGATTACAGAGGCTTCAGCGTAACATTTAAGACTGTCTTGAAAAAATTGCTTTTTGCAGTGTCTCAGTGGAGGTTTCAGTAATTTCTTTTGTTCCTAGAAATAGCGGTGGCATTATTTTTGTATTCCAGGTATTCTTTCGGACAATTTCATCATCTTGTCATTTGAGGACTATAACCAACTCTGTTTCGTTCAGTTTACAAAGAAGATGGATTCTCCTGATGTAAACAGAAGAAAACATGAGAAACTCTCTTGTTTGGATTTTAAGGTATTGCTGTCAATAGTAACTGTCTATATTACAGTAATTTTACATAATGAATCACTGGCACTCGCTGAAGTTTTATATAACTGATCAGAACAATTCAAATCCTAAAGCTGACAGTTACTGGAAAGTAAAAAAATAAAATACATGGCATTCTGAGTTAAATGAATTAAAACTACCAAGAGGAATCCAGTTTTCTGCCCGGTTCTATTTAGGCTAAGGGCTCAACACGCAGTTGAGTTACCCCTGCTTAACAGATTACCTCATGTCAGCTGAGCAGCAGTAACTGACCCTTTGCACATTCTCAGCATCTAACAGGCATGAAGTAAAACCTGTAATGGTAGAGCTCAGTGTAAAAGATTTAAGCTAATGTGTTTTGCCTCTTGTTTGCTGTGGGCTAAAAATGCACGCATGGTCAATTACTACAGCTCAGCTGATATACACAAACTTGTGAAGCCGTGTTTATTCAGTCATCTGTCTGAGGTTGTTGTAACTGCACAAGTCTTAATTTCTAGTTACAGTAATCATATTGTTAGGAGAGTTGGTTTTGCAACTAAGCTGCTGAGATAGGGCTCAAAATACAGGAGCTGAGTTTCTCACCACTGACAAATTATATATATATAACCTTAAGCAAGTGACTTAATGTCTCTGTATCTCAATTCCCCATTTATATAGCATAGATTAAAATGCCCCCTGTTCCAGCCTTTTATGTATGAGTGTATCTATACCACAGTCACAGCAGAAGCAGAAAAGCAGTCACATTTAAACTGACTGGTTTGGGTGTCAGTAGAAACCCATTCATTTCAAGCAAAATTCTGCTCCTTCTTGGGTGGGTTGGGTTATGTAGGCATATCCTATTTCCACCAAAGCTCTTTGGCTTCAGGACAGCGTAACTCTGACCTTAGGTGGAAGTGCTCGGTACTACAGCAGTATAACAAAATAATCAGCTAAAGGGAATACATTTTTACATACCGTTCACTGCTAGAAAAATGAAGTGGCAAGCCTTTGGTCAAGAAGAGTAGAAAGATGTAGTGAGCAAAAGAGTGATTTTGTATTTATTTAAAACTGAATAAAAACTAAGGACAACTTGTGCAAGCAAACGGTTTCCCTTTGGCACCCCCTTAGTAGTTTGGTTCCTCACATAGAGAATTTGCATCTTCAAGGCAAGATTTTTAAGAATATGTTTAAGTTTTGCCATCTTACATTTTAACTTGCTTGGTAGAAATATTTTCTGCTAGGATGAATATCTAAAACATTTTCCAGGCTGTTTCAGTTCAGGGCCTCTTTTCAGCAATGATTTGTGTTTGCGAGATTGATCCTGCCTCTATAACGTGGATTTGAGACAGTTCACTGTTCACCAGGAACTGAGCTGATACGTAGTTTACTTTAAAATGATGTGCACTTGTGCCTGGCCTACAGTGTTTGTTAAGGCTGTGCTTAGAAGCAAGGTTGGCAGGTGGTTGTGGTTTTTATTTTTTTAATAGCTGTAAACTCTAACTAAGAAAGTGGTAAGCTGAAGATTGCCTTCATTTAATTGTAAGGGCTGTAGCTCCTTACTGTAGTTAGAAAATACATTTTCTTAGAAAATGTACTTAGAAAATACATTTTCATTCTAGGTATTGCTGTGTCCGTTTTGGATCTCATGATTATGCCACTTTTTCCTTGGGAAAGAAGGAAAGCCTAATCCATAGAAAAGTGTCTCTGCCCTAGGAAACCAGAAATATCTACTGGCTTCCTTGATAGGATTGTTATGTTCAGTTATTTGCTCACACAGCTGAGCTTCTGGAAACACCTCTGTGTTCAACAGGAACTTTGCTTTCTCTTGAAATCAGTGGGAATCACTGTGGATTATTTCTTTGCCAGCCAAAAAAAAGGCATTTGCATTTTTTTAATTGAATATTCCTTTATGTGAAGCTTTCTAGTTAGGCAGCTAAATATAATTTTTATTATCTTCAAAACTGCATTAGTGTGAGCCAGCAGAAACTATTATTCACTACTGAAATAATATTATGTCAGCTCTCTGCATTTGAATTAGAGTTCTTCATGGCTGCTGCTGGTCAAACTTACAAAATCTAGTAACAAAAGAAACAATAATAAAAAAAGAAACAAAAGATCTTCCTCTATTGCAAATGTGCAAACAATACACACTTTAAAAAGCCCCAGTTCCTTAGTCTTGATATTATTTTCAAGACAATCAAATTAGAAGGTAACTTGCACTGGTATAGAACTGCCATAGGATTAAAATGGAGAACAAAGATTCAGGAAATTTGAGTATAGCTTTCATCTTTGCCTCTCACTTTCAATGCAGCTTTGAAAAAGGTACGCGGTATTTGGGTTTCAGTTTCTGTTTTTAAAATGAGGAAAATGCTTGCTAGCAGTAATATGTTTCAGTATAATTAAATGTCTGTCATATGTAGATTTTAATTTATTTAGAACATGGACAGATGCAAGTTCACATTGATCGGTGTCCAGCCTAATGTGGATAAAATTGACAGGGAACTTTAGGCAGTGCTAGACTGCCAGAGTGCTATTAATAGTGAGAGAAAGTCAACCATGCTTTCCTTCTATTTTAACGTCTATCCAAAAGTTTATTTTTTCACAGTATATATACCTAAATGGAAGAATTGCTTCCTCCAGCCTCACCTTTCTAAATTGCAACGCCTTGGATTTTATGTACACTTTGAAAAAAGGAGGATTTATTATGTGAATCAGTATAGTCTTAAAGTACAGGGAAATACAAAAACAACTGTGGCCATTTGCCTTTTCTCGTTGGCACCAGTCCACGTTTGAGATCACCATGTCTATTACAAAATGTAAAGACAGGTAAACAAAAGATTCTCAGCTGCTATTAAATGTGAAATTGTTATGACCAGTACACACTGCAGCACAGCTCTAATTAATATCTGTGAAAGTACTGTGTTTTTCCATCCCCAAATAGTGTATTGTCACCAAATTCACTGTCTGTACACAGTTTGAATTCAAACAGCAGTTATCTGTTCCCTTTTCAGTATGCATTATGTTTATTCTTTTAAATAGAATTTTGACAGGTAATAGTACGGTATATTCTAAAAATATTGACCTCTTGTAAGTTTTTCCTATCTATGTACTTTTAATCCATTTCAATTAACTGAAGCAGGAGACAGTACAAGTAGTTAAATGTTTACTGTGAGAGAACAACATTGGTAATTACTTTGATTTCAGTTCCTTTTGATGTGTATTCAGGGGATGAAGAGGTCAATAATATTATGACCATGCAAATAGAAAAGGGTTCTTTTTGACCATATAAAAAACAGCAAAGGATTATTAAAGCATTAACCTTGATTTTAATGGCCTTGGTTGAGTGGTGAGATCACAATTTGGATGAGCCTGATTATTTACTAAATACAATACATAAATGCAACGGGTTCTTAACACCCATTGCACTCTGGCATTATCGCATTACTGCCATCCTTTGTTGCCTTGCAGACAGGAATATGAAAGCAATCTGTCATGTAGTGAGACTGGCTCCAGAAGCATTTCTCTGATAAGAAGACCCCCTGCCCTTTGCTAGTGTCTGGTCCAGTAGGCTTAGCCATGCGCTTAATCCCCAGAAAGTGGTTCGATTATTGCTGACCAGCAATGGCAAGATAGTTTTTTTTCTCCCCTAGCTATCAACCTTCCATTAATTCCTTAAGCAGAAATGCGGTGCAATCTATATTTCCTTGGCATGTGTCACCCAGATGGTGCACTGCTCATGTTTTCAAATAACCATGCTCCAAAATAACAGAGTTTGAATAATAAATTCCACAAATCCTTCCTGAGAAAGAGGCAGAATTCTCCAGAGCTGCATAAACTTTACGCATGATGCTGTAGCTCATCCACATTATGCAGAAAAGTATATATTCTCTTACAAAGCGAATATTTGTGTGTGTGTGCCTTAATTTAGGGAAGAGAAAGAAAGATGCACGTTTGCTCAAACAGCATAGGATGTATTTAATATTTGCTTATGTCTTAAGCACTAACCTTAGCTCTCTGGTCAGCTTCGCAGAACTTGTCATTTAATATGGCTAAGCTTAAATCCTGCGTGTAGGTCGATGTTGTCAAGCAACCATGACTGTACATTTTGGTATTGATTGGAGTCATTGCAGTAAATTCCTTCTTAACTCACATTCCTTTCCTTCCCAATCCCCTCCCCGCAGATAAAAGTGTGAGCATGTCTCATTCTGTCTAAGGAGATATTTTTCACATTTACAGACAGCCTATATGGAGATATATGTGCGCAGTCCTTTGTGTATATATGGATTCTCTTTCACAAATGCAAAGTAAATGCTCCCAATTGCTCCCCCTGTGCTATTTTATTACCTTAAATATTTTCTGCATTTTTTTCTTCCATCAGATTTCTTACACTGATATACCTGGACTAGAAGGTAGGAGGATGAAACGTCACCTGGCAATAAACAGTATGCAAGATTTGGCCATTTGCTGGTGGTCAGCAGCTATTGATGGAGCATGGCCTTGGTCTCCTATTTCCTGTGAAAGGGACAGAGCCAACCTATTGCTGTTAGGCTGTGCGCATGGCAAACTGGAGGTAAAGTTCTGAACTCTCTTGTTACGTGATTTTCAGACTTGCTAAGGAAATAATTATTCAGATTAAATGCGTTTTCAAGTAGATAAAAAGAAACAGACATGCTTAAAATGTAAGGGAGAAAAATGACCCATCTTCATTTTAAAAACAAGTATTAATTATTTAGTGAGAAAAAAATGCATTATTTAGTATGTTTAGTATTTTCACATCAAAACTGATAATCTAGGAAATATAACAATTACATTAGGTCTTTAAAATGGAAGAGCTTTGAGGCTGTCACCACTAAAACTTCTTTAACCTGTTTTGGAAACTGTAGCTGTTGCATGCTTCTCCAATGCAATTATTTTACTTTGTCTGCAGTGTTAACAAATAGGCATTTCTTAATCTACTTTAAGCGTTTTATTGTAAGCTTTTAACTACAAGCAGATGCTGCTTAAATTGTTGTGATGACTACTGATCAAATTAGAGACTTTTCTCAAAGAAAAATCAAAATTCTACATCTACAGGTAGAATTGTAAGCTCCAAGTTAGAATAGGTTTACAGTTTGACTCTCCACTTGACACTTGTTTGTCTTACGTTCTTAGGCGTTTCATCTATTTCATTTTTATTTCATATATGTTAGAATATTTGAATCCAGTTTATATTTGATAAAAACTTTTAAATGAAGCTATCTGAGCATATTTTGAAAAGAGCTATAGCTTGAATTTAAAATAGATAAGCTGTTCTGGACTAACATCTTATATAGATCTTATAGAGTGTTTTATTTTCAGTTCAGTTTAAGCCACTTCTGCTGTGGGCTAAAAAGGCACTGGCTGTGGGAGAGGAGCACAAACTTCAGGGCCAGTTGTGGGATAGCTGTTCTGTGGTAGCTATTACAGGCTGTTTCCCTGTAGGGAAAAACCAAAAGTAACACTTCAAATAAGCTGCTCCTGTAAACAACATTCAGTTCTCTTTAATTTGGAAAGATGTACATGTTAACACATCTTAGAATTATTTCTTTGGTAAATAATATTAATTTCAGTGAGTTGTTTTCCCTTGGGATTTTCTATACATTGAAAGCGAAAATGCAGTTGAGACAGTTTTTCTTTCTTATCTGCATCAGTAATCACTGCAGAATTTAAGTTTAAATTACCTCCAGTTCCACCTTCTGTTCTTCTTTTCCATTGGCCTCTCCCCACTAGTGGTCATCTTTGACTCATCTCTCTCCTCCTCCAGACACACACCTGCAGTTCTCAGTTTCCACTGCTGCTATGACCGATCACATGTGAAAATGATTCTGGTACTTAAAGGGGACATCTGTTCCCTTAAGTTTTTGCAGCATGCTCTCCTGTGCGAGTTTCACGTTACGAAAAGTCACCCTGCTCACAGCTCACATCTAATTTCTTACCGTAACATCTGTAAGTCCTGGTTCTGACAGTAACGTTCCCATGCCATTCATTTCCTTTCCAAGTCTCTGCATGTTCTTCCAGGATGCTCCCTAATGTCAGTTTGCCGTCTCCATTTTCTGAGATGTTTTTTAGGGGCTCATTTCTTCTATGAAATTCACAGAAGCTACCCCTTTAGTTAAAAGCTGTCTCCTTTTTGTTGTGTATGTTACAGGGAGATTTCCAAATCACAGCATTGCTCTGCATCTTTCGGCGCACCTTGTTTTATCCTTTTTTGGTTTAGACTTTCAATCGCTCGGGGCTGAGGCTGTCTAGTATAGTCCCAAGCACATCACTGGTGCTTAACACAATAGTGATAATAAGCATTCACTGAGCCTTTAGGCCTAAACTCATAATCCTTTTAATTTAGCCTATATTGTAATATAAATATACGGAAATTATTTTAGAAAGCAGAACTACCAAATTTAACTATTCAGTCTCTTTTCATCCTTTGCCTACACTTGCCTGTTTTAATTCTAAGCTCCTCACGTGACATTTCTTTTTCTTTATTTGTCATTAAAATACTATGCACTGCGCCACCATTTTGGAAAATGTGTAGATGTGTAAATATATAGATAATTATTATTTTTGCTGGTTGTAGTTTATTCCATGTATTTACCTCCTGGGCACTTTTCCTGTTATCTGTGACAGGTAACCTACAGTACTGTTTGTGTTTTTCTTCCTTATTTCTCTAGTAATTCTTACGGTTGGTAGTTAAATTCCCCTTCCCAGTCAGGGAATGTCGTAGCCCAGCAGCTCTAGAACTAACATCAATTCCCAGTCTGCAATTAACTGAAGTACACGTTTCTCCCCCTGCGCATAGGAGGGCCACTTTAACTTAACGCTTGCAGCTTTTGAGGATCACGGGATGGCTTAAACTGAGTACAAACATAGTTAGCATTTTCAGACAGCTTCTAAACAGTTGGTGGCACAGTGTTACTGTAAACCTGCCTGTCTCTACTCCTAGCAGTTTACCATTTGTGGTATTCTTCAGGTATAGTCCTGGAAGAAAAATGTGACATGACTAGTTATAAGTAAATTCACATATATCATATTTTGACCATGATTTTTTTTAACAAGTGAATGATTGTTGTCAACAGAAGAATAATAAGGAGAATGAACTCAGACAGTTTGTGCAAATAACCAAAAAGGAATGTGTTAAATTAACGCCACTAACATTTTATGTGAAAATAATGGTGTCACTTTGGTAAGACATCATTATCATCTAGAATTAAGAAAAAAGCAGGATCTCTGGTCTACAAATGATTAGCTCTTTGGCATATTGAGTTTATGACAAAATAAACCGAGCCTGAGAAAATGCCTGAGCGCTGCCCACAGCCTTTGTGCAGCATGTTTGTGCTGACCTACAAAAACCACGAACAGATCTGCCAGCTACTGGCACTTACTGTTGTTGCAGAGCAAATCTGAATGATACTGCTTCCTCCCTGGAAAAATGTTGAGTGGTATTTGCTGCCCACCAGAAGACTACTTATTAGGATGAGGACAGCAACAGCCCTGGGACAAGACAGCCCAATCCCTTGTCATGTTAATATCCTGTAACTAACTACACAATATGCACCGAGGTGACTTAAGTTCACATGCCGCGTTTAGGCTATTGTGTACCTCAGCAACACTTCAACTTAAAGAAGAAAAGCCGTTTCACATTTTAAGTGCATTATATATGTGACTGGAATTGTGCTCTACGGCCTTAAATGGGGACAACTTTTTCCTTGCAAATCTTGATTTCTCTGACTTTCTTCGGTGTTTTTTTTTTTGTCCGTTTTTTCTTTTTTTTCTGAAATCAGCAATTGCTGTGTTGCATGCAGTAGGATTCAGTTAGGAATCCTCCCCTGAAGAAATAAAAGTGCTTTTCTGTTTAATGTATGACAGCCCTGGCGTATGATGTGTGTTGATGTGCATGCACTCATGCTGCTGCAGCAGTGTCTGCTGAACTTTTGTCTGCTTTTGTGTGTGTCTCCGTTTCCTATGGTAAACCCGTCGGTTCCCCAATTTATTTATTTAATTGACTGCTTGTTTCTTTTTTGTTAAAGTACCAGTGATCACAGATGCTATTTAATTTATCTGACTGTGTAGATAATGCAAGAAATTTTTGAAAGCAGACTTCAATTTACTTTGAATAAATAGGATCATATCTGAAATCATCCGTGGATTAAATGCTTTGACAGACAGTCATGTTAAAATCAACTTGAATAGCAAACATTAACAAAAATAGCAAAAGTTAATAGGTGATGATGCTGAGGCTTGGTTACTGTAGTAAATTTGTCTTTACTATGTTTATTTTCTCCTTTTACTGCTAATACAAATGGCTGAAATTATACTTCAGTCTTATGGAAACATTTTCCTGGGAGAGAACATTATCTTTTCACAGCAACATTTAATAGTTATTTCCTTTACGTGGCACAACAAACTTGTAAAATAAACACATCAGACCTTACATGAGTGAGCTGTACTGTAGCAGTCAGAAAAGCATCTGCATTGTGTGATTGAATAGTCAGATACCTCCCACACACATGAACAAGGACTGTAAAATCCTCGATGCCATGTTTTGTTAAAAGTTTGATGAATAATGCAGGATAAATGTTATGATGATAAGTTTTGAAAGAAAATAAGAATAAATGTTGGCTGAGGATCTAAATAGTAAGATTGCACTTGGGACTGGAAATCCATTGCAGCCAAATAAATAAGCTGGATAGGAGCCTTGTATTTTTATTGTAGAAGAGTTTAAATATAAGGTGTTGTTTGTTTTTTTTTCCTCTTTCACAGTGCTGTATTTAAAGCTATTTTACTCCAGTGTGCATTACCCTTCCCACTTTACATTTCTAATTAAAGTGTTTGTTGTTATTTGGAGCTTCACTGTGTGAAATTTAGCAAGCATTTCTTTAACATCCATAAAATATATGAAACATTTGTCTCATCCAACAGATGCACAGTCCAGTCACAGCAAGCTTATTTCTGTTTCTTTTGTTTTCTTTTTTTTTTTTTTTTTAATCTACTTGGTAAGCCAATTTTCTGCTTAAGTACTAGTGTTTAAAACTTGTATTTGTTTTGGTATGTGGGCTTTATTCTTTCCCAGTATTCTATACAGCATGCTTCAATTTTGAGTGTTCAACGATTTGCACTGAGGAAAGTGATATCACTTACACAAGCTAGTGCTACTATTTCTTTCAAACATTAAAAGGAAGAAGGCATGTTAGCTAGTACGATTCAGATCCCATAGTTATCAAGACTGTCAGATTCCTTTACTTGGATTGATATGATTTCTGAGTTAGGATTTGAGAAGCTGGCATGCATAGTATCTCTTACTGCCATCAGCTGATGCATGGCACAGGCCAGTACTGCAGGAACTAAATTGTACAAATGTGTAGTAGAGGCACTTGACTACTGCATTCATAAGACAAATGTACATAAAATGTGGATACTTATAAAATACATTTGCTAGGCTTCTAATGTACGTGTCATTAAACTGTAAAGGATTTTTAAAAAACAACATTTTATTTATTTTACAGAAAGTAATGCGCAATTCTTCCAGAAAGCTTCTTTTGAAATCTGAGGTTAACTGATCAGTCCAAGATTTATGGACTAAATAGCAGTGTGACAGTATGTCTTTATCCTTTTAGATCCACCAGCCTGCCCCTCCTCCACAGTTCTGACAGTTGTCCCACACGCTGTTGAGGAAACTCCAAAAGCTTTAGCTCTCACCTTCCCCATGAAAATGTTGGTTTTGTTAACTGAAAGATACACTGCTATAGTGATGTTCCCCTTCAGGGTTACAGGGCAGTTAGAACTACTGCTTGTCAGGAATTCCATCGGAATCCTTCAGGTGAGCTGCTAGAGCGCTGTGTTCACTACATTTACCAGCACATCACTACTTTACCATGTAGGTAAACAACTGGCAGGTAATGGAGTACCGTCTCTTTGGAAAAAAATATGCTTTGATTTGATTGCTAGTCTTTGTACTGCTTAGATTCATAGAACTGTAGGATGCTTTGGGTTGGAAGGGACCTTAAAGACCGTCAAGTTCAAAGCCTGTGCCGTGGGCAGGGCTGCCCCCCACCAGCTCAGGTTGCCCACAGCCTCATCCAGCCTGGCTTTGAATGCCTCTGGGGATGGGGCACCCACAGCTCTCTGGGCAGCAGTGCCAGGGCCTCACCACCCGCTGAGTAAAGAATTTCTTCCTTATATCTAATCTAAATTTAGCCTCTTTTAGTTTAAATCCATTATCCGTTGTCCCATCGCTAACACGCCCTGATAAAGAGTCCCTCCCCATTTTTCCTGCAGGCCCCCCTTAGGTACTGGAAGGCCTGGAAGGAATGCTTTTTTTCAAAAGTGTTATCTTAGCTTCATTAACATGGTTTTGTAGTTGCATGTCTCAGCTTTAGTTCTTCAGTTAGTGACATGAGCAATTATTAATAAAAGTAAAATTTCTGACAGAGAAACTCAAATCTTCCCTCTCAGATGAAAGAGAATATCCTTTTTCTCTCCTCAGAGTGCCAAATACCAGTTATGTTCAGCAAAATTGGAAACCAGAACAAAGAGGTCTCTTAGGCTTGCTGTTCTTCCTTCAAGAGGCAAATGAGGCCACTGATGTGTGAGAAGGTTTATCGGTTCCAGCCTTAGGAGAGATGTTTCTCTTGTTTTCAGCCAGTAGTCTCTAGAAAGTTTCCTTTAAGCCTAGCTTGTTTAAACATTATGTCAAAACTTACGTTTTTGTAATGTAACAAATAGTCTTCTCTTAGGAATATTTCCCTAGCATATTATTTTTTAACATACCGCAACCAACCGAACCCTAAACTTCATTTCAGGGATCTGCTTTCAAAATTATGAGCAGGTAGGAAACTTCTCATGTTAAGGCTAATTAAATTAGACCTTCCAAGATATAAAATTCTACTTTCTTTTAAATTCAAATTACCAGGCAACGTTTTGTCCCTCCTTTGTGCTAACCTGACAGAACAAAGTTATTAGACTTGGTTTAGTTGCTGACTTTCAAATGACCTGATGGCAACATTTATTTTTTTCTATTACTGTTTCTATTGCTGTTTTCCAACAGTCACTTCTCTTGCATTGAAAAATAGGTAAATAATGTGGTGCATTGAAACCTGCCAAAGGAACACAGAATTGAGAGTCCCAGGGGGCCTCAAGGCTCGCTTCACTTAAGTTTTGAAGCTTTGAAGACCTGCTTGGGCAAGATTTCTATTTCACATATTTGAAAGGCAGCTGTCTTGGTCTCTGTGCGTAGTCAGAGCAAATGACAATTCACCTTGTCTTTATTTGGGGTTACACAGCTCTGTGGTCACAGTAATCCTTTGTACACATAACCCCTTTACAGGTTGTCTTGCTATGCAATTTAACATACTAATAAGCTACATGTTTTAAGCAGTTCTAAAACCAAACTTCTGAACAGTAGCCACTGCACACTTTGTGGATTTACTTAAATTACTATCTGCAGAGGCTAAGTCATTGGTAAGCAAGTGGAGCAGGTGAGAAATGGGTTTTCAAGCTGTATAGCTTATTTAACCTCTTATTTCTGCTTTGGTGTGTATTTTCTTTGATCACTGCCCTTCGTTGAAATCAGATTACCTGCTTTTCACAAGTTGGTTGCGTTGGCTTCTCTTTTAGATGCTTTCACATCTGATGTTCTGTTTCTTGCCTATTAAGTAGTTCTTAGTATGTCCCTAACCTTATCTTACACTAGCTAGGACTTCTGTACTAACAGGCAGATGGTTTACAGCCGCAGAATTATAACAGTGATTTTTCTTGCATTTAAATGAGAAGCCCTTTTGCTCACAAAATAAGTAAACATCCTAATCAGTCTGATCAGCATCCCAAAATCCATTTGTTGTTTCTGAATTCATGGTTGGTATGCCAAAGAAAAACTTACTTTCTTAGTCTCTAACTTTACAAGTTGAAGGGCTAGATTCAGTTAGTTCAGTTAGTGTAGTGGTCTGTGGAAATCAGCTTCAAACTGTTTAAGTATACTGTGCATGTCTCTGTTTTCACTCTGAAGTTTCCAAGTGTTCTCCATCTCTGTTTTTGGTATCTCTTTTCATAAGTGGCACTTGCATACCACCTAGACTCAAAAGAAGCAGTTTTAGTGTCAGGTCAGCAACTTGATCCTGTGAATAACACGATGGGTATGGTTTGGCTCTTTAACATTTTCTATTTCTGACAAAGTCTATTTTCTATTTCTTTCAGACAAATAGCTTTTTATAAAGCACGTTTAACTTAACTACAACTAGTACTTCTCCCACAGTTTCCCTTCTAAAGTCATCTACATCTACATCTCTTTCTCAGATGCGTAATGAATCTGCACTGGACTCCACTGTCGCCTCCATCATTTCATAGTATCTCTCATGTTTTTACACTGGAAATTCTTACTTTTTGCCAGCTGCTATCTTTGGATCATACTCTGCCTTTGTGTTCTTCCTACCTGCTTGTACCTCTAAAGAATACTTCTTCTCTTCTGTAACTAATTATATGTCACTAAAAGGCATCTACCACCTACTTGTTTGGCAGTGTGTAGTGTACACTGTTTAAACTTGCCATTGTTTCCACCTCTAGAGTATAGTATTTTCTGTTACCATGGCCAAGAGCAAATGATCAAAAATGCTCAATCTGTGATGCTTAGAGTAGTCTACTATAAATTTTTTAAGATATTTGGGGATTTTTCTCTCCACTTTTTCTGAATAATCAGCCTTTCTTTGATATGTCAGCAGCTCATCTCTCTTCTAGTAGGACTGTTAGGACAATCCCTTCTTTTATCTTTAATGCTGCTAACCTATTATATCTTCTGAATAAAAGAAATGGCTCAGACTCTATAGCAATAAATTAACCTTTTAAAAGCCTGAACAATAGATTTAATAACTTGTTTTAGCTTACTGAGTCGTGAAAAAAATGTATTTTCAGCTGTCTAATTTTAAATTGTCAAATGTAAGAATAATTTTTTTACAAATAAGTACCAAAGCATTTTGGCTTTTTTACAGGTTCTGAGTTATGTTCGTACAGAATGGGATCCACTGGATGCTAGCTTTAGCACTAAGGAGCCTTACCAGGTTCACACAGTTGAGCACTCCATCTCTGCAGATAAAAAGCCCATGGCTGACAGCTGCATCTACAACTGTGTTAGAAACAAAATTCGGTGTGCAGCCGTCACCAGAATACCGCTGCAGTCAAGGGCAATCAGCTGTTGCAGAAATATTACAGAAGACAAACTAGTCCTGGGCTGCGAAGATTCATCAATAATCCTGTATGATGCGTACAACCAAGTGACTCTGTTAGCCCAAGCAAAACTATTGCCTGCATTAGTAACCTACCACCCTTCTGGGGCCATATTCCTGGTTGGAAGTTCTCAAGGGGAGCTGCAGATTTTTGACACAGCACTGTCCCCAGTTAAAATTCAGCTCTTAGCAGACAACTATTCACCTGAGGCAACTCTGCAATTCAGCAAGCACTTTGACGTTTCTAGCAGCCTCATCCAGATTCAGTGGGCTGCTGCTCAAGCTGTATCTCCCAGAGCTGATGGCATGGATGTCCATGATCTTTTGTTCATTAGATTTGACAAAGGACCCTTAGGAGTTCTTCGCTTTAAACTTGGTAAGTTACTGAGCGCATCTATTGAGCCTTTAGGCTCTCAAGGAAACATCTGTACCTCAGAAGTTTTATGTCATTTGAAAACAGCCTTTTAGATAAATGGGACCAGAACCTTAAAAACACGCGATTCCGATGATCTCTGGAAGATGCAAATCAAGGAGTTCATTATGTTTCACTATTATTTAATATCTTTTCTTGTGGTGTCTGATATGTGACTCAGAATCCTATTATTTTCCCCTGCCTAACAGTTTCTCATATTAAAAATTATTTTCCTCTGTAGAATACAATTGTAGGTATTTGTATTCATTCTGTATAAATACCTGTAACAAACCAAAATAAGCTACATGTCATAATAGGATAGTAATGCTATTCTCTTTCCTAAACAGATTAGTTTTGTATATGATACAACTATCTTTTCCATTACAATGTATGTTTTTCAGTACTCTCTTTTTTTTCTGGCCTTGGTACATGAAGTCACACTACTTTTTTCCTTGAAAACTTCACACAAGAAGGAAGGTTTTCATAACCTTTAAAGAAGTTTAGCATCTCAAATAATTTACTAGCAGTTGAGAATAAAAGAAAAAAGTAATGGTAGTTTAGAATTTATTAGCACTTCTCATTTTAGGTGTAAAGAGGCTTTAAGGGAGTAAAATTGTAATTAACTTCAGTTTACAAACAGAATAACAAGAGTAAAGGAAAGTTGGAGGGCTTTTTAAGTGTTAAATGAGGTGTCAGTGGCTGAACTAAGAATATAACCCCTGTGGTTCATCATCAGTGAGAACTGCATTCATTCCATTCAAGCCAATCAAGTTACAGTGGTGCAGACCCAGTGTGAGTGCCAAAAAAACTATCATGCTTAAATCTTCTGTCTATCAGTCCAGTGTTTCTCCATGGCAGACAGCCATGGGGAGTATATTTTGTGTATTATATTTGAGTATATCTTATCCTGGAAAATGTCAGTACTTTGCTCGTTATCTGTCCAAGAAATAACAATCACCTTTGTCTTTAAAAGGAGTTAATTTTGGGTTTTTTTGGTGTGTTTTTTGTTTTGTTTTGTTTCGGTAAGTATTTCATACAAATCTCTTGTGATTAGGAAGACACCTATTTTTAAGAAGCCAGGTGACTGTGAAGTTTGAAACTCATTTGTGATGCATGTGCTTTTGTGTGGGGAAAAATCTGTCTAAACATTAGAAAATCTGGCTTTACCAAACCTTTACTACATATGCCACAGCAAAAAGATAAAGTCACCAGGAAAAACACTGGACTGATTTACAGTTATATACCTTCATAAGAGTTGATCCAAAATTGCTATTAAAAATGTTTACAAATTACCATTTATTTCAAGATGATTCATTTGTATTGTGTTCAGTGACAGGTTTAATGGTTGCAGAGCCCCCCAGAACACTAATTAAAACAGCTATTTGATGCTTTTGTGCATGTTGGCCATTAAAAAAACATCCTCTAAATTACCTCTTACCTGTCAAGCAGAAGGCACTCTACCCACATCTACCTTGCTTTTCTATAGTCCTCCCTCATGGGGTTTGCTCACAACAGCTTTCCAGAAAGCTCAGCTTTCCCCTTGCTATCTTTAGCACATTTATGTTCTTATGGAGGCAGCAGGCTCTCAGTGCAGGGATTTAGAGGCCTTTCCTGCTAATTGCCAGCTTGTAAACTTAATTGGACTGTCTCCCTGGGCACCGTTCCTAAATCAATTAGGCAGTGAGTTGGCCGTCACCTCTTTTTCCCAAGTAGGTTGCCCGGAAGCGCACCACCCAAGAGAAGTCAAGCATCCAAATAAATAGGAAGTTGTTGACCTCTACAGCTGAAAGTTATCACGTTTTAAAATTCATTCTTTATAATTATAGTAAAATCTCTCTCTCCACCCCCTCCCTACCTTCTCCTCTACAGTCCACTGTGCAAAAACGTGCTGTTCTCTGTTGCATTCTGGTTTTCAGCTTTATCACTCAGTTTTCCACACCTAAGGTGGAATTTCCATACAGTGGGTAGAATTGCTGTTGCTGGTTTTTTTTTCATTTTTGTTTTTTTTTAAATATATATTAGTATTCCTAGATTTACAAATACACAGAAAATTTTCAAGGCAGTCCTGCAGTTTGTGAAGGTTTTAGTCTGTAGTAATCCGCTAATTTTTTAAGAATGACCTATTCTTACTGGCACTAGAAATACCCCTATTATTACCATTCCAAAAAAAAAACCCAACATTTTTGGATTTACAGCTATTGCATCATACATAGCATTTTTAAAATTTCTTCAAGCATAGGAGGATCTCCCACAGAATGCAGTTGGAAGTGAGCCGTATGATTGATTCTGGGCTGCACAGTTTTACTGAATCACGATATAGTGTTTCATGCTAGGTAATGTCTCTTCTCTTGAATACATGGAGTTCCACAGTCCTTTGTTTTTAACATTTATAAATTATATTAACATTACTTGAATTGTGTCTCATAAAAGTCTCCTGGAAAATAGATTTTTAACTTACAGCTGCCACATTAAGCTCTTGGACAAGAACTATGAATCCTGAAATAAGTCTAGGTAGATTTATTTCAGGAAAGGGTTCATTTTAAATCTACCCTCAAACACTAATGGCAGATACTTTTGTTGTCTAATGCCAAATTCATTTTTAAAAGCATTACAGCTGCTTGTCATTGATGTCAGCCCAAACAGTGGATGACGCCAGACCTGCTACCAGTGCCAGTGGTACAGCTCTGCTGGCCTAGGTGGATATTTAAAATATAATATAATATTTAATTAGCTCGCAAATCAGTATTTTCATCTTCACTTAGTGATTTATATGAAGATTTCCCAACTTGTGTAATGCTTTAGAAATATTAAAGGAGAATAAATCCTATTGTAACGATTAGATACAATCAGAGATGCGCACAGATCAAACACAGCTATTACACAGTATAATGTCCATAGTCTTCCATATATGCAAATACTTGACAAACATATATGTATAGAATTAAATTTATATCTATTACAAATATATACGTATGACCGAATACATAACATCACGTCTGTGTTTGCAAATTCTCAGCAGACTGTCTGACCTGGACCTACAGTCAAAAGGGTTTTTTTCCCACACGTCTTTCTCCACTCCTATAGTCCATCATGAACAATGCTCACAACTACTTTTATGAAAATTTTGTGAGATCTGTTTTCATGTCTACGTTTCTCTGTTAGCAGACCTTTTTGCCCCAGCCATCAGATGGCTCTAAAATCCATACTGAAATTCATTTTCTCATCAGAATTTTTTCCTTAGAATTATTTTCCACAAACACCATCAGAATGTAGATTGTGATTTTTTTTTAATACATGCTTTATGCTTTATTTATAGAGAGGGAAACAGAACATTTATTCTATTTTTTTTTCCTGACATCTGGAGCATTAGTGATAAAGAATACATTCCCACAGTGACCCAAAGGAAGGAAGAACTACTAAAGTGCCTTGCAAGACCTACAGCTTGTGATCATCTAGTTAGTCAGAGACAATTAAGAACATGACTTTCTACGTCTTTCTAGGCAGCTTCCCTGTTCAGGAGCTGAGACCTACATGTCAACATCTTAGAATGTGTTTTAATTCACACTGATCAGAGGCTAAGTGTTGTAGTAAAATCATGATCTTGTGGAATGGGGAATGTGCCTTTCATTTTCTTCTCTTATGGTGAGCAAATGCATGGCTTCATTTGTAACAAAATGAAAATCTGGGAATGAGCTTTCTCTAGCAATGCTCCACTACATGATGTTTTCACTGGTGGATATTGGCCACATTCTCTCTACCGTCCATGTGTTAAGTCCCCTGTCCAGAGCACCCTAAATCTTAATATGATAGGACAACATGGAGTTCTATTACAGAGAAATTAAACATTGAAACCCATTAACTTAACTTTTATTTTAATCAACAGTAATTATTTTTAACTGTGTTGAAAAATATTCTATTATACATTCTCTTAACGCTATTTTCTGCTTTAACGTTTCCTAAAAAAGGTGTGATAACAAGAGGACAGCTGGGCCTTGTGGAAATCATCCACCAATACATTCGTTATGATGAGATACATGAGGCAATTAACGTCCTGAACACCATGAACTGGAACACGATGGGCCATCAGTGTTACATCTGCTTGAGTGCCATTGTCAATCACCTGCTTAAACAAAAGCTTACACCAGACAGAGAAGGTAAGAGACTGATTGCACTTCTAATGTGCTTTTCTGGGATCTGTAGTTCTTATAAGGATTATGATGTTATATTTATTGACTGTATAAAAAAGACAATAGGGAGAACAGTCAGCCATTTGAACATAGCACTCCCTAATCAAATGTCGAATTTAGAAATAATTATTTCAGTGAAGTCTGGATTAATGTGTTGAATGAATTTCAGTTAATGTTTCTACCAAGAATGATAATAAAATGCACATTATTTCAACACTTGTGTGATACAGGCATGACCTAACGCGTATTGCACTATCTCATATACGCTGTAAGTTTATTGTGTTACACAAATTTGGTCACAGACCAATGCTAGTTAACACAGGCTTCGAATGTTTGTTATGTACTCATACTGAGACAGCACTGACATAAGCAGGGAAACTCTCCTTTAACAGGATTTGAGTGGAATTGTTAAGGTGCTTGTGAAGGGTCACTCTTTTGCTACAAGATCCGAAGGCTTTGAATACACTGTCCTCTGCTGCCTCCTTTAGGATTATAGCCTTTGTCCTCGCAGTAATCTCCTGCCCCCCTGCAGTACTAGCTGGGGTCTCTCACAAGAATTGATGAATTTTAGGCTCAGCCTTGTCTCTGCTGAAGCCTGGTGTGGTGCCTTCTTCTTGATTTGCTGTGTATCTTGAAATTCAAGAGACTTCAAGATTTGAAGTGCCTTGATTTAGTGAAGGTGTTATCCTCCAGTCTAGCAGGCAGACAGCTGGGGACCAGGCATCTTTCGTGCCCAGAAAGAATACTTAGGGTTCTGGTGTGTTTGATGATAGCAAAACTCCAAAGTGTCCTACATTGCTGCCAAACCATCAACTGTCGTGTTTGGGGGATCTGATTAAAAACTCCTTGCATTGCAAACGTAGCATATCAATTCTAAATGAAACATGCTTTTAAAAGGACCCATGAAAAAGGCTGGGTTTGAAACTCTTGTAAAAAATATGCCCGTTATAAATAGATGTCTGTGTGTTTCCCCCCATGCAGCTCCCTAACACTGTTTACAGCAGATGAAATTTTATTCTGTCCGGGAGTTATTCTGTGTGAATCTAACAAATTTGGCATAGTAATTTGTTTTCTTTTTTATTAGCGAAAACCCAGTGAGGCCTTTTATTTATAGTGATGTGGCAGTTATCCTTGAGATCTTTATTCTGCCTTCAACATCAAGCTGGGCTATCTAATGAATCTATAACTGTGCTGGTAGTTACTCATATTCCATCTAGGTTGGAATATTTCTGAAGTACAAAACATGCTGTCAAGAAAACAGCAATGGCAAGAAAGTATGGCTTGTTTTTGCAAAGGTACCGCTGTATTCAATTTTAATCTAAATTGACTGCTGCTTTGAAAGAAAATACCTTTATAGTTCAGCTTATCGTAAACCTAGACAGTAAGATAACACAAAACCTAATTTACTAGCAGTTTGCCTGTGTTTCTAACACAGTACTATTAGCACATTTAGTGCAATCAAACCTAATGAAATAGAATGTAACTACGCTTGGAAATAAAGAACCTTTATCACTGAATACAGAAATGGCTAGTTCAGACAAATGTTAATAGCAACAAATCAGTGAGACTTCTCTACCTAATGAGACAATAGGTTGGTTGTATTTTGCTTTTAAAGCTCACACAAAATTCTGATTAGCAGTAGCAATTTGTGTATCTGTCTTGACAGGAGAACCAATGCTGGCATAGTAAACTCTCCCTGTGACTTAGGAGTGAGACCTTCATTAGTTATTTCTGAATTTCAGTCAATTGTTTTTGTTCTAGAACCAAAAACACAGCATCCCACCAAACACTCTGGAGAAAATAATTCAATTCCAGCTGAAACGAAGGCAGTTCTGTATATAAAGTTTCATACTATGTGTTGACTATTAAGCAGAAGTCATGTAGCATAAATATAATTATTATATTTCATCTCAACTAAGCACAGGACACGTTCAGGGGACACGAATATCTGCTATGTATTTTCCTGTATTATTTATGATTCTGTATTAGAAACATGTAGTAAAATGGCTGAGAGCTATACCTGTGGAGTATGCCAGTCAGAAAGTAAAGCAGATGCAACTTCTGTAACAAAAGGGCTTTATTTTATTGATGACAAGGGAGGTTGACTCTTCTGCACACTGCAGGAGAGTCAAACCCTCAGGGTTTTCAGACCCTTTTATTTAAAGTTTTTGAAGAAGTGTTGGTTGAAGGAGGCTCCTTAGACCTCAAGGCCATCAAAAGAAAGGTTCTGTCACCTGCTGACCTAAGATATAACAATAATCCCTGAAAAACTGAACTTCATTGTTGTCTGCCTAAGAGGACATAGAAAATCTGAGATAATTTAGTTGATCTCTACTGGACAAACTTGTTCAAACTGTATTTTTCTTATGAGTCACTTTTAATTGTATGGTTCTGGTGAGAACTTGATGTGTTACAAACTTTTTCATCTTTCTGACAGCTTTTGTTGCTCAAAGTCATTGTCAACTCTGCCTCAAAATGAAAGTTAATATGCACATTTGTGTTTGTACAAGCTGTCATATTTTAATTTCATCTATCCTACAACAACATTGTGTTTCAGCAGTGTTTGAAGAATTTGACTGACTGCAAACATGAACAACCTGTTGTAATTGAAACGATTTCACTTGTTTCATTGCTGCTCTACTTAAACTCCACAGCACAGCTTGAGGCAAGCCTTGGAACCTTTTATGCTCCAACAAGACCCCTCTTGGATACAACTGTGCTGGAATACAGAGACCCCATCAGCAGATATGCAAGAAGGTTCTTCCACCACCTGCTCAGGTGAATGACAGTTTAAACTTCTATCAACTTAAAATTAATTGCATATTTCAATAACTGCCTGCTTTAATGTGGTTAACGTTTTCCAAGAGGACCACCCCTGAAAAAAATGCATTCGTTGTTACTGTTATTTTAACTTGCACTTCATTCCTTTCAAGTACAGTATTGCAGATAAAACGCTATTCAGAGCTCTTCTGTCATCAATGCACTTAAAATGAATCAAACTTTCCTTTTTAGCTTGATGGAAAGAAGATAGCATGCTTCTGAGAGATTCACCAACTGCTTGCAGGTTAACTGTTAAAACAACTTACAGGCTTGGAGAAAACTTCAAGTTTAAATAGATGCAAATGGGCAATGTCTGATCCAAGACATTTTGTCTTTGCATTTTGTCATTGTCAACCTCAGAGGTCTCAAATATAAATTTGTATTCCAGTCATTTTGAGTACAGTTTAAGATCTAAAAGTCTGCGCCAGTAAGTTATACAACACTAGAGAAGTCATCATACCAAATTCAGTTAGAATTTATATTACCCTGATATACTGCTATTCTTTTTCTTGTATCCTTGGTACATCAATAGCATAAATTCTGATCTACTGTAACTGTCAATATGCAGCAGTTTGATCTTTTCATGTGTTCAACCACAAATACAAATGATACCTTCTCTCCGAGAATCATTCATCGAGTGAAAATATGGAGAAATTATGTTCTGAATAATAACCCAAATGTTTGTAGAGCCTTGTTGAGGAGGGGTCTAGATGGATATGGTGAGACTTGCAATGCTTTATTTTTCTGTGTGCCAGCCAAATCATATACGTCGTCTATGTATGCAAAGCCAGGAACTGCAAGTTATTTTGATGGTACAATACACACTTCTTCCAAAACTTAAACAGAAATAATTTATCCTGTCATATAAATTTTTAGTGAGTCTGAACAGGATCAGCTTTCTGCTAAACGGGTCCATACCCATGGGAAATTATTCTAAGTAGAAGAGTGTTCCAAATATTTGCATAATATGTACCAGCCCTTACTGGAGTTTTCTTCATAGATGCGGCCACAATACCAGGTACAATCTCTGCCTTTGCCTTTGTCCTAGAAACCAGCAGGGAAGGTTTGTTGCTGCCGTGGCCAACTGTAATGGCTGAGGGCCAGTTGCCTGCAGAGGACAGACGCGGAAAGAATGCCTCAGAGATTGCTGAGAGGTGTAGTAACTGTAGTGCACTTACATCTGCTGGAGAAAGGTGTATTCCCTCTGACTCAGGATTTGCTTCGAAATGCTAGCAGGCATGCAGAGGCACGGGGCCCTGGCTGAGCTTCCAGCCCTTGGGGCTGCTCAACACAGCTGAAATGCTGTCTCAATCTCTCTAGCAGACAAGAAGCTTCAGTGCCAGAGTGCTGCCTGGACAATATGGGACACAGACCAGAGATGTATAGGAGAGTCTCCCCGTGTCTTTTACCTCCACTATAAAGCAGCCTTGTAAGAATCTACTTTATGCAGTATTTTAGAACAAATGAATGTTATTTTGCTGTTTCCCTGTTGTCAAAGGGATTTGTATTCAACTGAATCAAAGTGATAGGATCATGTGATTGCTGCAGAACAGATGGTAACGCTTAAAGCTTATCTGAAAAGACATAATCTAAGTACAAAATGAAATGTTCAAAAATGGCAGATTTATCTGATATAAAGCAAGGAAATCATGTCCAGAGATGATCTTTATTGTATTAAAGTGACTGTGCCTTAATTGGTATTTATTTCCTTTTAGATGTCTTCTTAAGTGACCAGAATTATTTGAATGTAGGCTAAACTGACCGTGCTGCTGATTTGTTGGAGAAATGGTGAACCAGCTGGATGATTCTGGGAGAGAGAAGGTCATCTAGGCCAATTCTCCCAGTGTCTGGGAAAATCATAGGGAAGCACAATGCTCACTAATTTGTCTAGGCATGCAGAAGCTACAGCCTCTGCTTTTAGAACCTTCTGTGAGGAGCCAAGCAAGGCTAGCCATTCCTGCCAGTCTGCATTTATGAGTGTGGAGAGAGTTCTGCTCTTGTCTTTTTGGATCACCATGTCTCGCCCAACAGGACAGTGGAAATTGAGTAGTTTCCCCTCTACCTGTTTGTTAGAAATGGCAACTCTATGTAGATACCAGGAGGGCTGCATTTAAAGTCAGTTACACACTCTGTATCTCAAGCCTTGTTATTCAATCCGTTCTCTTTTTTAGCCATATTTGCTTGGCACTAAATACCTGCATGCTAGTTACAAATAGTTGATGAATCTTTTCACAGTGAATTTGTGCTAACACGATATGTATGCAGGACTAAACAAAATAATATAGCAAAATAAAAGCAAGAAGGCTTGAATGCAGATGCTCTGTGAATTGTCAGTGCTAGTCTGATGCAGCACTAGGGGACATTCGTTGCCCTCTTGTGAACATTTCCTAAAAGCTAAATAATCACTTTGTTCCCTGTTGCAGCAAGTAATGGAGGAAACACAGTGGTTCCTAAATTGTACGGCTGAGAATGAAAAAGTGTTTCCGAAATACTGTAGGATCTTCCACAATTCCTTTGGGCTTCAGAAAAAAAGCAAGCAACATATTCACAGAAGGCAAATGTAGAAGATAAGGAGCTGAAAGACACTGAGAGCCAGAAAACTCGGAAGGGGGTTTGGAAAGGTGAGGAAAGAGGGGTTAGGAGCAAAATGAGGACAAAGGAATAAAGACAGATAAGTGGCCATACAGAGCAATACAAAAGAGTAGAGTGGTAGTACAGATTGAAAGAGAATAAGACAGTGTAGAGTGTATGTTGGGCTGCAGAGGAGACCAGAAGCATAAGGAATGGACAGAAGAGGGTGTAGTTTTTAATACAAGATTAAAATATTAAAATGCTTGTATGTTTCTAGATCTAAATCTGAAAAATGCTCAGATAAACAGAAGTGTTCACCCCCTCCCCCCTCCCTCCCCCCCCCCAGCTTTCTTTTGAGTGCCCCACCAATCTGCCTTAAGCCTTTTCTAGAAGGACCCGCTCTTGGGAGAGAAATATTAATTCGTTCTACATGCTGAGACAATCTTTGACCTGCCTGCTGAGTCTGCCAAAAAGGTGCCAGTTATTGTATTTTTTAAGGTACGAGTGTCTGTACTTACTAGAATTGAGAAATGCAGTCACCTTTTCAAAAAGGCTATCCTCACCTCGTAATAATCATGAGCCAATGATTTTAATCTTTACTGCAGTCTGAAAGGTTTTATATATAGTTGAACATAACTGGCAACATCCATTTTCACATTATCAGTGAGATTATGGGCTAAGTATTTTTCTACCATCAGTTTCTAGAAAAAAAGAAAAAGAACAGTGTGATGGTAGGTCCTATGAACCATGTGAAGGCACTCTGTAACTACAGGCTGTAGTACAAGATGGGTTAGAACATGGTGCAGGAGTCTGAGATGGGCATAATCTTCAGCTTCTACTAAAATAGAGATACAGAGCTTCGCTGGCATAGGTCCTGAATAAAGAATATGGAATATCTCCAAAAACAGGCGTTCAGTATACAGAATTAAAATTAAAGGCCTCTTAATTATATGCCAAGAATCCATTACAACAGTATTTATAGAATGAGTAATAATTTTCATTTTAAATTCTTATCTATAATTAAAAAATACAGGAACTGAATTGTAAATGTAAACCTATATCTTAGGTGTTCCTTGCCACTTGAGTAGCATTCCTGTATTTTATTATGATGTCACTACCTATAATAATATAATGCATTATATCATTATGTAAAATGTTGAGCAGAGGTGGATTTATTAGGAAGCCTTGGGAGCTGTTAACCTTCTTGCCCCCACCCTTTTGTTGTGCACTGCCTACTAAGTGTATTTGTGTAATGGGGGAGTGGCTGCACAACCACCTCCTGCTTCTGTATAACAGCCTCATCTGGCCATGTACAGAACATGGAATGAGATGGAAGAGTCTTTCATTCGTTAACTATGGCATCGCTGACTCATGGCTTTGCTTCACTCTGATCAAGCATTCGTAAATTGTACTTGCCATATTTTCTAATGCATGAAATTATCTTGCTTGTTTAACACACACACGCAGGTACAAACACATGCCTGCCCTGTTTTATTCAAACCTTTCTGCCTCTTTCAAACAGACAGTGAAAAAAATAACATACCATGAGCTGGAAGCAAAGGCTGGATTGGCAAGTAAAGGCTGAAATGCAGTTGGGAAGTCGGAGAATTAGAATGTGCAGCTCCATGTTTCTGCTGTTTTGTTCATGTGTTTCTGAACATACAATTTAAGGATCTGTTTTTTTGTTTGTTTGTTTGTTTCATGGAAAAACACTAAAATCAAAACCATTTGGACCTTATAATCTGATAATTCCATTATCCACCTGTCTTCCACCAGCTTCAAGGACAAATATGATTCTTTATGAAGCAAAGCTCTATTCTAAATGTCGGGATAATGCATTTGTCTTTTTCAAGAGTAAAGTGCAGTTCTGATCACATCTACTGACATAATTCTGAATATATTCACAGAAATATTCTGCTTTGTCCAAGTCTAAAATTGAAGATTATGTGTTTCTGCTGTTACTGGTTTTATTCCTTCATAGATCTTCTCAAAAGTCTTGTATGCTCTTCTCAGTATTCAGTATTGGTTAAATGCAAAGAAGAATTAAGCTACATACTGGCAGAACATTCATGAAATAGAGGAGGTGAGAAAGTAGGTGATCCCTAGTATCAAGGGACATATGTTTCTAGCCAGTACTGGGTTTTGTGAATCACTTTGCTATTCAAGAGTTGTGAAGTGCACCACTATACTACCCGACATGGTTATTTGACGTAGTTATCGCTTACTTCCAAGACAACCTTTGGGAAACTAAAATAGAGCTCTTTCCCTCTGCAGCAAGATCACTTACACAGTATGAACTAACCCTTTGTAAGAGGTTCTTGTATCTCTAAACTGCGATCTGCAAAGTAGGTGTGCATCGCGAGTGTTCCATCCTAAACAGGGCCCCC